ATTGAACTTAATTTTTATAACCAATAAGACAATGGAACAAAAAATGTTAACCTATGTTGACATATATGGATACATTTTTGATAAAAAACATAATAAAATTATTTAGGTAGACAAGTTGAAATGGCCAAGTCTTATCAGAAACTGGTTTTTGAATGCTATGTCTAGAACTGTTTGGAATGTAAATAGAATAAATTTTTTTTTAAACAGGCAAGAATTTATGGTAAAATTACCAAACATTCAAACTTATGGAACAAAAAAAGGTTTCTTAGCATGTATTTTCATATTTTACATTTTACTACTAATAATAATATCCAACTGGCTGCAAGTGTGATAGTTTTTCTAAATACCAATAAGAAAACACCCTGAAATAATTATTCATTATTACTTATAAGAGAATCAGTTGTTTTTCAGCATGTACTGAACAATTGAAAAACAAACAAAATATTTAACTTAAATAATCACAAACTGCCACTGGGTGAAAATTCAGAGATAAGTAATAATTAAATCTGAATCAACGCATCCTTAGTTATCCATTCCATTTTAGCTTCCATGCATCTCATAAGAATTGTCTGACTCCATTCAGTTTTTTTTCAGCTCAAAAGAGCTTTATAGCACATAATTGTTCATCATTTAAATCTGTACACAGTAATCTCTTATATGGAACTTCACTTCTCATCTCTGCAATTCATATCCAAATACCTTCATTTGAAGTTAATGTCCCTACAAGGGCATTGTTAATGAATCTAAATATATAACCATGAAATGGACTTTGGAAGGATTCACCATCCATGACATCAAATTGACCAGAACAATTCGCAGTTTCCACGATTTCTGCTCGCATATCCATCCAGAATAAGGTCAAGTTTTCTGAGCCTCAAGTCCATCCTTCACAAACATCTGCATGTCTCCCTTCATAAAGACACTTGCCCCAATCTTGATATTTCTTTTTACGTGAAAGACAATGAACATTTTCTTAAATGCTTTTCCCCATTTTCGCACCTGCCAATAAACCAATGCTGTACAGGACCATTTGTCCTGTTGTTTATTTCACCCCCTCTCCTGGTATCAGACCAGCCCAATCTGTCAAGAATAACACTGACTGAATTTCTTAACGGCAAGTGAAAGAAATAACATCACCATGAACATGTCTTTCCCTGCTGCTGCTGTCTATTTCTCATAACTTACAACCAATTATTACATATATAGATACTCTACGTATTATTTTCTTTTCCTCCTGTATTGCTTTCATATTTCTCCTTAAGGTCAATGATAAGGTCCCTTAACTCTTCACGTTTTCCTCAATTTTTTTGTTCGTGAACCAAATCCGATTTAAGCCTCGATTGGAAGTGGATATATATATTAGATCCTAGCACACCAAGGGACAAGAAATATCAGTCTACCTGTACTTTGGTAATAACATTTATGTTTAGGTATATCAACCCACACATGCACAAAATGAGCACTAAACTGCAGTTATATATTAATCACGCTCTATGATATATTAATTTTAAGATGCATTGTTCTTCAAGTACTGCATTGTCTGGAGGGTGTTAAGATGAACAGTTATATATCCAGAAAGGATTTAGACTTAAAAAATTATTCATTTTATGAACATCTGAACCTCATCCTGTGCAAGATTGTACCAGCTAACTTAAAATTAGAGTCTATTTTAATTTCAATTTCCATTTTTACTTTGGAATGGAAATAAAACATTTATTTGCACATTAGAGTGAAAAGGTGCATGCAAATGATGCCAACTTGCTCTTGTTTAGTGTCATAATCTAAGAATCATATTAAATAAATGTCAGTCCAAAAATTCAACACTTGTAAGTGGAATGATAAAGAACTCAGTTCTCTGTTTCTCAGTTATAACCTCCCAGTTTTTCAGCAATACATTATGGGGTTGAACATTTCCAATTAGAGGTAATTACAAGATTGGATGTACCTATTACTGTTTAAAACTATACTAAGTAACTCACAACTCAAAAAAAGCTTTCCACATATTGTAACATGTAGGACACCACAATCACTAAAGTTAGTTTGCTGTGGCACCTTAGGAACACAACCTTTTATTGATGCTTTACTCAGTTCTGAGCCACCTTTTTTCACTGCCCATTCTACTTGTAAATATTCCTTTAACACAGTTACTATCCTATTTCTAGACGGACCCGATAATGAGTCAAATATCAGGAATACATGGCCTGAAAATGATGAAAACTTATTCATAATAATATTCAATATATAATAATCAAAATATTTTATTAGTAATCAAATAACCTTGCTCATATTCTATAAGAATCAGATTAAACATTGTTTTGCTTTGTTGCGGTTAGTTTTTTAGTCACAATGACACTGACTTAAGGTCATATTGGTGACTTTCCAGCTTTCCTGGTGATGGAAGACCTTATAAGTGGGCCTCTCATTACATTACTTCCGGCACAAGCTGACACCCTAAGTAGAATAAAATACATCCAATAAGCTTCCCTACATGAACCAATTTCAACTCTCTGGTAGGATTTAACATCACAGTGGTCTGGGTCAATGGTTTGAGTCGGCACCTTAACCATTCGGCCACAGTGATCCATCTCCATTTTAAATCTGACAAGTTAACTTAAATCAATAACTACATTTTACCTATTTCCTAATTAACAAGGATGTGAAAGTTTCTTAATCAAATATCCAGAAAAATGAGCACATACTCTGGATGAATACAGTCAAATCAAGTTTTACAAATTATGAAATAAAATCAAAACTGCTTTCAAATAAATTAACTTGATGAAGAATGGCCAGGCTTCCTAATACAGTTTGCTCAAGTATGATAGTTTTTGCAAAAAAAAAACAAACAAAAAACAAGATTGCATTTGAGAAAAATGCCTATGCCACCGCATTAATACAACACTAAATAGTAGTGTAGGAACAGATTTTTTTTTTGTTTCTATACAATTGAAGATTGTCATAATGCATAGATCCCTGACCTATCTAATTCTTATTATCAGATAAGTGGTTAAATCTATTGTTAATCCAATAACAGATCAGAGTAGGAATATATCAATGCACTTGAGTCTAGTGAATTTGGTGGTGAAGGTCTTATTTCACACAGTCTAACTTCATGACTACATTCAAAGGACAACACAGTAAAACACTTTTGTAAAAATCTAGATCAGCTGATATCAAAAGTTCACTTTTACATCTTTATCTGTGCACATGGTTCAAATTTTCATAGCTGTACATCAAAGGACAAGAAAGTAGGTCACATCATCAAAATCTAGGTCACCTGATATCAAAGTTCAATTTTACAACTAAAACTGTGCACATGGTCAAAAATTTCATTGCTGTGCATCAAAGGACAAGAAAGTAGGTCACTGCCCCCTTGGGCAGGGCAAAATTTTGACCCAAGGGTTTTAATTCAAACAATCTTGATACAGGTCCACCAAACAACATTTCAAGTCAAATATCTAAGCTGTAGCTTTCACCATTCAGAAAAACATTTTGTTTTATTTTCTGTTTTTACTATGTGTACATAATGAGAATCACTGCCCCGCGGCAGGGCCAATTTTAACACCAGGGAAAAATTTGAACAACTTTGGTAGAGGACCTATAGATGATATTATATAGCAAACATCAAACCTCTATCCCTTGTACCTTGAGACAAAAATATTTTTTATTTATTTACTATAAATTATGTACATTAATGAAAATCAATGACCCCTTGGGCGGAGCCAATTTTGACCCCAGAGCTATAATTTGAACAATCTTGGTAGAGGTTCACTTCGCAATGTCTCATGCCATATATTTAACCTCTAGCCTTTGTCATCAGAGAAGAAGATTTTTCAAGTTTTTACTTTATACATATAAGGAAAACTATCGCCTCTGGGGCAGGGCAATTTTAACACTAGGGGTATAATTAAAACAACTTTAGTAGAGGACCCATAGATGATATTATATACCAAATAATCAAAGCTCTAAGCCTTGTACCTTCAGACAAGAAGATTTTTTAATTTTTTACTATATGTACATAGTGAAAAATGAACAATGACCCCTGGGGTTGGGCCAATTTTGACCCCAGGGCTATAATTTGTACAATCTTGCTAGAGGTTCACTACACAATGTTTCATGCAAAATATCTTAACTCTAGCCTTTGTAAATTTTAGAGAAGATGATTTTTTAAGTTTTTACTATATACATATAACCTGGGACGGGGCTAATTTTGACACTAGAGGCAAAATTTGAACAACTTTGGAAGAGTACCTATAGATGATATTCATTTAACAAATATTAAAGCTCTAAGCCTTGCTACCTTCAGACAATAAGATTTTTTTGATTGTTTTACTATATGTATTGACCCCTGGCGCGGGGCAATTTTGAACCCAGGCTATAGTTTGAACAATCTTGGTAGAGGTTCACTACACAATGTTTCATGCAAAATATCTAACCTCTAGCATTTGTCAATTGCTAGAAGATTTTTTTTTTAAAGTTTTTACCATAAGTTTTTTACTCTATACATATAAGGAAAACCAATGGCCCCGGTTGGGGCTGATTTTAACCCCAGGGCTATAATTTGAACAATCTTGGTCAGGGTCTACCAGACAATGCCTTATGCAAAATATCTAAGCTCTAGGCCTTTTGGGTCTTTACAAGAAGATTTTTTAAATTTGTTCTTATAATTCCTTTTGGTGCATGCATGAAATGAAATTCTTTGAACAACATTGGAAGCCCTTCACCCAAGGATCAATCCTGCCAAGTTTGGTTGAAATTGGACTAGTGGTTTTTCACAAGAAGATTTTTTAAGTTCACTATATAATCTATATAACACACACACAAACAAACACACACACACACAGGTGAATCGCTATATGCCACCGCATCGCAGATGCTGCGGTGGCATAAAAAAACCCAAACAAACCCTCCTATAACATAACAATTAACTTTCAAAACTTGTCAAAGTTGGATGAGCCTATCATACAAAATTCAGAGAAAAGATGAGAAGTTGAAATCTTTTTTTATAAATAAATTTTTTTACCTTTTGACACCAGTTATAGCATCAGACGGGATAGGTTCCCCTTCTGGCACTGCCTTCCCTCGTATACTCTACAAGTAATTGTGAGATATCAAAAATGACATTAATATTATTCATAATCAGAATTTATGTCATTTAAATGAATATGATGTGACATTTCTAAAAAGTATTTTCATCATATGTTGATATTAAGTGCAGCTCTAATGTTACTTACGAATCTAGATTACATTAACTAGTTTCACACTCATATGAACATAAAATATTTTATTGAAATACTGACACTGTTCAAATAATATTAAGATATCTCATTAGCTTTCACTATGTATCAAGAACAAAGCAGGCAATAATTTGAAAGTGGCATTCGCAGAATAGTTAAATCAGTAGCTTTTACCATGAAGCAAGAACAAAGTGGCACTGAATACAAAATTCTAGCTCTCTACAAGCCAGCTTTGTAGTTTAATAAGCATGAAACAAATTGATCTTATTATCTGTAATATACTAACAAGTGGTTAATACAACATAAACAACTTCCTAAATGGTCTTTATTCATTAAGGTTTGATAACAAAAAGAAACAGTATCTTTTCTTATTATTGTTTGTTTGGTTTATACGGTTATTTTAACACAACAATTTTTCCTCTTATCTTGGCAGTCGGTCCACCTACATTTTGTAACCAGTTTAACTGGATAACTAACCAGTTAATATCAATTTCTGTACAAGAGAAAAGCTACTTATCCTTAATGATTTCTGAAAAGGCCATGAGAGACAAAGGACCACACTATCACAGAGACGTTTTGTCTCGCTCGAGGATAAAACCAGCAGATTAAATATATTAAAAGCTATCACTTTTAATAAATTATTTTCATCAAACTCGACATAATTAAGAGAAGTTTTCCACTACAAATATAAAACTACCTTCAATATTGTCTTCATAGATCTTGTTTGCCGTATTCCAGACTCTCCTTGACCTGTGTCTGATTTTTCTCCTGGTGTATCAATACCAGTCTGTTCTTCTTTTCCTTCCTCAGACTGTGTATCTGCATTTTCAGACTGTGACCCAGCATTTTCCGTCTGAGACTCAGTCTGTTCAGACTGTGTCTCCTCAGTGTTCTCAGAATTATTTTTATCAGACTGATTCTCAAGCTCTGCACTGTCAGTTACTGATTCAGACTGTGACTCAGTCTTTTCTTTTTCACTGTCTGGTTCTACTGCAGATGATCCATTTGTTGTATCAGTTACTGGTGATTTTCCTGCTTCTGTATTGCTATTTGTTAAGTCAGGCAAAGGATCCTGAAAAAAAAAATTAATCACATCATCTCAATACTCATGAGTAAGGAATATTTTCAAGGTATATGTATATAGTATTACTGTAATCTGTCAATGACAGAAGCATATTCAGAAATAACAAACATTGATAGTAAAAGGCATTTTACAAAACTGCTTTTCCGCTGTTTTAGAAATGAACAGATAGTATAATAGAAATTAATCATCCTTTATCACAAAAGCTCCAATAAAAGTTAAACTTGAAAAAGAAAAGGATCATGGTGATATTTATTCCAAATATCCAATATCCTAGACAGAATGCATTAACTTTGATTCAAGGACTGTCTCCAAATCAGAACTTTAGTTTTTATACAGAATTTAATTTAGTTCAATTGTGTATGAAAGCAAGCTATAAGCTTGTAGATAAAATCTCAAATCTGTTCCTGGAACCAACCAGTACTGAGCAATGAATGTAAAATTTCGTCTCTGATGGGAGTTTGAACGTACTCAGCTAGCTTTTTACATGTTACAGCATGTAGATGTACAGACTGGCCAGTCTATATATTGGTAGCCTAAATATAACCAGGACAAAGATACCATTACATCCTACTATACTTTCTGTCTACAGACAGAACAAACGTAAGGACAAATGCAAATCAATATCCCCTCTCTCCCCAGCAAGCAGAGGAAGAATAAAGAGATAAGAATATGATAATTTACCTCATTTTCTTCTGCATCCATTTCTTCTCCGCCATCATCAGTTGGCTGTGGAGGTGTGGGACACTTGGAGGGATCTATCAGAGGTGTTGTCATTGGTCTAGGAATGTAGGGAACTTCTACTGGCTGCTCCAGACCAGGGAAACATATAATGGCCAGAAACCAGTGGGCACTGTGGATAAAAATGTAATGTAATTAATGTTTGTTCAGTGATGACAAAAACATACAACTATAATGTACATGTAATGTTGAATGTTTGTGAGCAGCAAATTGAAAACACTTCATTCCTATTTTTTTGCTGTCAAGTTAACCTGAATTAGCATTATATGTCAAAGGATTTTTAATATCTATAATATGTTAATGTTCATAGACCAATAATTTATAGTAACAATATTTAGAATAAAATAAACAAAACTACCTTAAATGTTATTACCGAAATTTAAAGGAATTTCCTTGAGTAAAGTGCGTTAATTATAATTTTAGCATATAAGAATAGCAAATGGCAAAATGTAACATTACTTCCACTTTAACTTTTACACTCACAATTCACACTTGCAAGGGCATAATGTTGGTCTAAAAAGTGTATAACTCACATTTGTAACAAGTTTTAACCAACTACCAACAATACAGAAAAAAAAACACTTACTGTTCATTTATAGGAATAACAATAAAGTCTTTTTCAAAGAGATCTAATTTACGAGTCCAAGTTTTCACTCTGGCATGCCTTTTGACTGGTAATCTGTCAGAGAAAAAAATGAATAAATACAAAATAGCTTCCATTTTTATTCATTGTTGTCTTATTTATGTTGTAAATACATAAAATTTTTGTGCTTTTTTAAATGTAAATCATTAACTGTTAAAAGTATGTTTTAAATATGACATTTCATTTTAAAAGCTGTGTGTCTTTTATATCACATACATTTGTAACATAGAATATATCTATCAAGGCTCTCTAAATTTCCAGAACAGGGAATTTTTAAATGATATTCAATATATAATTTCATGCTAAGACAAGATAACATGCTGTAACCAATAACTTTCAATGTGCTTAGCATATTAAATAATGTTGTTTTGGACATATCAATTTTATTTCCATTGACATGAAACCTTGAGGCATATTTGAAGCAGTCTCAAGTCCATTTTTTTTATTATATTGTGCTACTGTCATACCAGGAATCATATTTGTTACCCCAGAAGGGCTCAAACCCCTTGCTTGAGAGGCAGATACCTTAACCACTAGGCAAGCACTACCCTGCTCTAGTTATTTTTTTATCTATGTTATTTTACTATCTATAGAAGAATTTATGATCAGTATCGCAAGTGTAATTAGAACCAAATCAGATGCTATGCTCATAATGGGAACTCCAGTGTGGTATTTGACATGATGGGACAGATAATATGCTCTTAATACCTTACAGATAATAGGTGTGTTATACTACCCTTTTCAAAATCCAAAAATGATTTGCAACAATTGATCCCACTTCCAGACAACTACCAAAACAATCATGAATATGAATATACATTAAGCAGTATTTACTATATCACAAGAAATATTTTGAAATTTGGTGAAATTTTGTAAATAAGTCGTCAAACTACTCACGTGACATTTGGATCATCATCTATAGCAGCGCCACGTATACGCTGTGTTAGACGTTTATAGAAGAAAGAACTGAAGATGTGTGTACGAGCATGATCCGCTACACTCAACTTTTCATGTAATAGATACCTGTATAATACAATTAGGATTATAACATATAATGGATATTGGATGTGTGTAGGTTCAATACTGAATTTGTTTGAACGAGTTTATTCAATATATTCAGTATTGAACTTACACAAAATGAATATTCCATTTATCACATACCCAAAAATAAGGATCGTCTTAGAGAGAAAAAGAACCATATTTCTTTGACATGCCTATAGTATAATGCTAACATTTGGAGCCTCTTAACGCTGTTTATATAATGCAAATGATGTCCTATCAAAATATACGTAAGGCTGTGCTATACGGTTTTTATGCCATCCCAAAAGCGGCACCGCTGTGTTTAAAAAAAATCAATACTAGAAAATCTCTATATTTCTAAAATAAAGCAGTAAACAGTTCAGTCTTGAAAAACTAGGCAGGTGCCCAGGTCTGTCTGATGGCCGTATTTTATACTGATGACATAAGCAAGTCATTACTGCTTCTACTTTTCAAATAGTTAAAGTCATCTCAATTAAAATATACACTTGCAAGTACAGTTTTGTTTTATGTTAATTTTAACACATTTTTTCTATCATATCTCAGCAGATGGTTTACCTAACCAACTTTCCTGGATTAGTAAGTAGTAATATCTGATTTCAAAGCAATGCACAATTATTAATCCCACAAGATTTCTGAACCAGCATTGACAGACAATGACCATAGGACTCAAATGTCCAAGATCAAATATTGTCATCCTCAACTAAAGGATCAAACCAGGATCTCCTGAATTACCAAACTATTAGTCTATATAAATTTATTATAGTTCAATTGTTTTGGAAGCTATACGATTATTGAAACACTCGAATCAGTTCCTGGAATCAACCAGTACTAAGTGTGTAATGAGTGTAAAGTTTCTTGTTCAAGGACACTACGGCTTGCCACTGACAGGATTTGAACCACACGGTCAGCAATGCTTAGATTCCTTGTCCGATGTATTTACCACTCGGCCACACCAACACACCAAATTTTTAATGACTGTTTATCAGAAATACAATCACTTATATTTCAGTTCTCTCTGAAATAGTGCTATGATTACAATGGTGAACCTTATCTTTAATATCAACAAAGGACACAAGAATTACATAAGTGTTATATAGGTAGAAGATTTTTTTTTTAAGTATAAGTGTAGTTTTTTTTTTAAGTATAAGTGTTCAAGTCAGCACTTACTTGAGGTAAAAATCAACGATGACGTCATTCAGGAACTCTCCTTCCTGGAGGCAGTAAAGGTCTTCATTTGTAATAGATATGCCACCCTTAGCAGGTGGAGGTGGATATGTTAATAACCTGTAAACATAAACACTTTTATATGTCACTTTGTAAACATAAACACAAATACTTTATATGTCCCTGTGTACACATGAACACAAATACTTTACAAAACATAAAATATTTCAAAAATATGTCTTAGCAGGCTTTAATCAAAGACAATTCTGTACAAAATACATTCCCAATTAACCATTGCTTTCACTATGTATATATGCTCTGAAAAAGTTCATTTTCTAAATTTTTTGCTTAGTCACTGACAATGCCAAATTTTCTTTTTAAAAGACTGAATTTTAAAAAATTCTTTTACACTCTGAGGATTTTGCTTTATTGTTAACCTCCTTGTTATACATAAACATAGAGTGTAGGACAAAAGCCTTCCCGGACAAAAGCCCTCCCTTCAAAAAGTAACAAGAGCCATGTCAACATGGCCATCCCTCGCCGAATGTGTTTGCTCATTGGAAGAATATATATGTAGTAAAGCAGAATAATTCAATTTTAAGAGGTCTTTTGGTAATGAAAACTGATGGCTGAAATGTATACAGATTTGAAATCTATGTGAATACTAATGGCTGAAAATAACAAAGGCAAATAACTGAAAATAATGCAGGGTAAAGTATCATTCTTGTGTTGCTGCACTTCCTCCTCAATGAGGATCTATCCACCTTATAAGTTTCAAGTTGATATCTCAAAAGGCTTTTATAGGCTTATGCTCTGGACAAAAAATTAAGCATGAAAAATAACCAAAGGGCAATAACTGAAAAATAAATGCAGGGGTAGAGTTGTCATTTTGTTTTGCTGCACTCCTCCTTCAATGAGACCTTAATCCACCTATGAAGTTTCATGTTGATATCTCAAAGGCCTTTTTAGAAATGCGTCTGGACAAAAAAAATTAAGCATGAAAAAAGTAACACAAGGGGCAATAACTGAAAAATTATGCAGGTTTAGAGTTATTAATTCTTGTGTGCTGCACTCCTCCTCAGTTGAGATCTATTCCACCTATGAAGTTTCAAGTTGGATACCTCTAACACTTTTTGAGATAAGCTCCGCGCACAAAAAAGTATGAAAAATAAACAAAGGCAATAACTCAAAAATTATAATGGGGAAGAGTTATCGTTCTTGAGGGCACCAGCATTCCTCCTCAATAAGATCCATCCACCTATGAATTTTTTATGTTGATATCTCGATAAGCATATTTGAGTTATGCTCTTGCGACAAAAATAAGTTTTGGAAAAATAACAAAGGGCAATAACTGAAAAAATTATGCAAGTTAGAGTTTATCAATTCTTGTGCACTGCACTCCTCCTCAATATGATCTATCTACCTATGAAGTTTCAAATTGATAACTCAAAAACTTTTTGAGATATGCTCCGGACAAAAAGTATTAAAAATAACAAAGGGCAATAACTCAAAAATTATATTGGGAAGAGTTATTCTTTCTTGTGCAGCAGCATTCCTCTTTCAATAAGATCTATCCACCTATGAAGTTTCATGTTGACATCTCAAAGACTTTTTGAGTTATGTGTCACTCAGGTGAAAAAATTAAGTATGAAAAAATAACTAAGGGCAATAACTAAAAAATTATGAAAGGAAGAGTTATCATTCTTGTGCACTGCAACCACCTCCTGAGTGAGATCTATCCACCTATGAAGTTTCATGTTGATATCTCATAAGCTTTTTGAGTTATGCTCTGAACAAAAATTAAGTTTGAAAAATAACAAAGGGCAATAACTCAAAAATTATGCAGGGTAAAGTTATCATTCTTGTGCACTGCACTCCTCCTCAATGAGATCTATCCACCTATCTAAGTTTCAAGTTGACATCTCAAATACTTTTTGAGATATGCTCCGGACAAAAATGTCGGACGGAAGGACTGAGTCTATTTCTATATCCCCCGCCGCCTTTCGACGAGGGATAACAAGGCGGAGAAAAGCCCTCCCGTGAAATGACTTGGTGGACAAAAGCCCACCCGTGAAAATAATAGGGCGGACAAAAGCCCTCCCGCAGTAAATACATATATGTACGTTGAATAGTTTATATTTTCTTTTCAATGCACTCAACATATTAAAATTGTAATCATAAATATTTTTGTTTTCCATTGGCATAAATGTGTTTGTATGAGCTTGAGCACATTCCTGACAGGCATCTGAATAATTAGTGCTAAAATCTGTAAGTGCATATTTATTCACGTAGATATGAAGGATTCCTATGTGAAGTAAATATTATTGAGTAATAAATGATAAAAATAAGTTAAAATTATCTAACATAAAAGTTAAATGCCTTGTAATGAGTCAATTACTGTAAAAAGTTACCTCGTTAAACATTTCAGGAAGGTATATTCGGAATAAAATGTGGTTCTAGGTCATACACATAATTAGGCCAATTGAAAACAACAAGGATTTATATATGTTGAGTGCAATGAAAAAAACACAGGTATTCAACATACATATTCATTTTTGCTACAGGAGGGCATTTGTTCGCCTTGTTAATTTCACAAGAGGGCTTTTGTCCGCCCAGTCATTTTCATGGGAGGGCTTTGTCTGCCCTGTTGTTTTCACGGGAGGGGTTTTGTCCGCCCTGTCATTTTCACGGGAGGGCTTTTTTCCGCCCTGTCATTTTTTAACGGGAGGGCTTTTGTCCGTTTCCCTAAACATATTCACATATTCCTTAATGTCTCCATTATAGCATAACATTGATTAAAGATGGACTCCACTATCATATAAAAGACTACAAGTCTATGTCCAGTGGTGATTTCTTACTTTCCTTCCGACAAAAAATAAAACAGAAGCCCGTCATGTCATGTTTCCTGTATAAATTGTATTTACCCATTACTTCATATTTAGACATCTTTTCACCCCCCCCCCTTTGAGGCCTCAAATAGTGAAAAAAAGTGCCCTATTTAGACCACTAACACTTTTTTCGTTTGAGAAATGGTGTTAAAAAAGGTTGATCACTTTTTCGGCACCTATTCCTTATATCAAATAAGATTACCTTCACCAGAAGTGCCCCTTCTGCTTGGAAGTTTGAAGGTTGAAAGCAAACCCCAAGAAAATTCTCCAAGAAAAATTTTGGATTTAAGAGAGGCTAAAAAATGGCCCTCAGGTCAATCTTAACGGTAACGTGCTAACAGTACCCTGAAAAGCCTTTCACTATATCTCAATCCATTGCAGAAGTTGCAGCACTTTGAAGTCAGTTTTTGAAATCAAACGCAAAATAGTGATGTTTGCAATTTGAGGTGTCCCCCATTGCCATGGTAACAGAAATTTAACAATAGTATACCGTTTTACAGAGGCTATGGTTCAGTCAAAACATTTGTGCCAAGTTTGAACAGTTATTAAAGTCTTTTTTTATAATTTTATACCAATTTGAACTTGTAACAGGAGGGCTTTTTCAATGAAAACACAAAAAAAAAAAAAACACAAATTTTTCACAAACGATGGTCAAAAGTAATGGGTTAATATATAAATTTTTAAATCTAAGCTCACAGATCTGATGTCCATCAAAAAACTTTACTGAATCTTTAAAATTATAAGAACATCCAAACATTATCCTTAAAATATCATTATAATCAAAATCATATCAAAGTTTCCATGAAAATCTAACAAATATCTTACTTGATAATAGGACCAAACAAAAGCCTAAATCTTTTGGAGACGGTACCTGTTCACTCTGTCTATCTTTCCTTCTTTGCCTGACTATAACCATGAATCCATGACTTTTGGTTGAGCGTAGCCACACCCTGTTGTATCCTGTGGGTGCTAGCAGACAGGCGAAATTTATCTCATCTGCCTCCTCCTTCTCTGAGCTTCCATATAAAGAATGCTTCATCTCCCTGTTTCCCCCATGACTTTGAAAGTAATTCCATATACTTCTGGAATCAAGTCTTGTTTCCACGGGTAACTGGTCCATCACTATAGTTATCATCTTGATGCCGAGTATCTGATGTGTATCAAAACTTGCTATTTGTGACTTCTATATGTCGTAAATACATTGTTATGATATTCAACATAAAATAAAACTACGAAAAAAACTTGTAATTTTGTTTCCTTTTATTTATCCATATGCATTTATAAATTGTCTTTAAGTTTGTTAAAACACTTTATTATACATTGTACATCGATTTAATTAATGGCCAATTTTTATGTTTTTTTTTATTTGTTTGGGTCCGTCAGACCAAAAACAAATAATGCGTAGCGGAAATTTCAGAGCCTAATGCTGTTAATTGCAAATGCCTTACTAGTCCACTTTTTTGAAAGCGGTTACTTCCCTTTATATGTACACTAACGCCGAAAAAAAAAAATCAGGGGGAGAAAAATTGCGTAAAGATTGTCAAATGACAGGCGCATTCCATTTTTCAAGCAAGTAGTTCCGAATGGTCGAAGATTTCTAATATTTGTTTCATTCTTTATAGATATACATGCTTACAGTCAAGCTCCATGATTATTTACATTCTGTGTTGAGCGTGGAAAAAATAAGAGTTACAAAAACCCTAATTTAGGAATAATAGGGCTTTTCTTCAGCTCGTTAACTTATAATTTCACGTGGCCGAGGGGTTTGCGCACGCGTCGGCCTCAAGTTCAAATCTCAGTTGAGGCAACTCATTTTTTTCCCATTTTTAATAAATCAAATAAACATTTGAAATTGACTATTTCAGTGCTTTTGCAATTAGTCTTATAAGCCAATTTACTACCAGTTTTTAAAAACACTGGAAAAGCTTTGGTTCGGCACTAATACAAAACAAATTGGTATAATCTCACAACCTTCACCTTTCTGACATTCTGAGACCCAAACAAATTCATGCGCCTTCTGTGCTTTGATTTATCACAGGTACACTGATCATAACCTCTGACATGAAAATGGCGTGTGACCAATAAAAACTCATCAAGATGCATCCACATATTAAGTTTCAGTTTACGTTTATGACCACAAGCAAAAACTTAACGTATTTAGGATGCTGATGTGGCTGAGTCGGTCATGAAAATAGCTGTAATTTTTCGTTGAAAAAGGAGCTAAAAACTTACAAGCAATAATTATGGCAAACATGTAACAAACCCACCTGTTCCTAAAGGATCATAATAGTGTTCAGGAGGGGGTTTACTGGGGTCAGCGTTTACAACCATTCCTAAATCTTTTCTTGTTCTTACTGCACAACTTTGTGTTGTAAGAAAAAATATCAAGTTAGTCTCGCCTTCAAACTTGGTCAAGCACTGCTGAATTTCTTGTGGGTAAATGTGAAATCTGTGCGTACCAGTAACACCTGAAAAATTATCAAGATTCAACAGTTAGTCACCTTTTCGCCTGCCATACAAAAACTTCACATGGAAATATCATGCCACTATATTTCTGAAGATGTACATGTTAATGTGTGAAAAATGAATACTGATTTAGAATATACAGACATAAACTTCAAATATAAACTGGAGTATGTAGTAAAATCTAAAAACAAAGTAATTACGGGTTAATGTAATTCACATTGAAAGAATATAAAATAAATTTTAACCTATTTCAAGCTTTTTTCAACAAAATTTCATATGAGTAACATAGTTAACACGCTGATGGATATAAATTTAAATGGTATTTCACAGATAAACTTTAAGTGAATAGCAAAGGAATTGATTTTTTTATTCATAAAAAAACATTACAAAAGGAAACACACACTGGTACTTGCATTAAACCTTTCTTAAACTTTACAGCCTATTATAAAAGACCCATTTTGATAGAAAACTCAATTAATTGACAAAAGACATAGCATCTTGTGCATGTAAATTATGCATTTATTACCTTCAATAAAAAAGTTAAGCCCAGAGTTTGAGATAAGTATAGGCTCTACAGGTGCCCCCCTGAATGTGCCCACCCGTACAGTCCTGGCGTTTAATGTAAGCTCGATAGGTGATGGAGACTTCTCACACACTGCACCAGGTGCACCCTCCTGAAATAAAAAGTATATTCAACTTATTTCCAACGGTAAAAAATACATACCAGTAGTAAAATTTAATAATTTATATGAATATGCATATACATTTAGATAAAGGGTCATTATGTCTCAAGGTTTGTTGTTTTTTTCTCAAAAGCCTTGTATATTTGGTGTCCTTTAATACTTTTCAAAAAGTTACTCATTTACCAATTATTGAATTAAATGAACCATTTTCTGCTTCTGTGAGAATTGATACTGTTATAGTGATTTAGTATATTGTATGGAAGTCAAAATACTACTTTGTTTACAATTTGCTTTTTTAATGCAAAAAACTCTACATTCAGCGCTACTTTTTTCCAGGAAATAAGCCACTAACACACTCGTAAACAACTGTTCAACAGATACAGTTTGTCTTTAAAGTCGTTAATATTATCTGAGATCTTCTACAACAAAATTAAGGTCTGGTAAAGTAAATTAAAGATAGAAAATTAAAAAATTAAAGAAAAAAAAACCAAAAAAAAACCAAACAACATACAGCATCCTCCATCATTTTTACCCTGGCTTTTTCTCCTTTCTTCAATGTTATAGGTACAGTAGGTATTAATGGAGATTCGGGACATTCAGGTTGGTCCCCAGCATGACTAGGAGATCTACTGGGTACCGATGCTGGCGTGGCTGGGGCCGACATCGACTGAGATTGTGACTTATTCATTTCGTTACTTTCTTCCTCATCAGATGATATTGTTACAGTTTCTATAATAAAATTTAAATACATTCATATCCAGTATAAACATAACTAATTATAAAACATTCTTTAAATTTGAAGAAAATCATGCATTTACTTAACTATCTGTCCTGCATTTAAAATAATTCATCAGGTTATTGCAGATGAGTTATGCATGACAACTTGTTCATGCCCACGGGCAACATATCGGGCAAGCTAACAGTGAAGTAGTTAATTCTAAGTGGCTAACCACTTGCACACAACAGACAGACTTATTTAGGTTGTCATGATTCATGCCATGTTATTTTAGAATGATGATGTGACAACCCAAACAAGCAAAACAAAAATATACTCTCATTTCTATAAATTTAACCTCAAAGTATGACCTTGACCTTTGAGCTACAATTATTTCTGGCTATTTCTGGCCAAGACACACTTTTCTGTTGAAGTTGCCATTTGTGCAAAGTTATTTGAGAATCAGTTTACTATGGCAAATTTACAGCCCACACAAAATCAGAAAGGCACACTAAAGCATACACATACCTACACTAAATGGCCATTGTGGCGACTAATATTTTACATAAAACATAGCAGGTTCCAAAAAATGGTTTATCAATCCTACAAAATTTTACCTTTGATGACACCAAATAATATATGCTTTGTATTGTTCAAAAATAAAAATGCTTCAATTATAATTCTTTATTTAATACTATTTTCAAAACTTCTAGGCTTACATTGTATATGGCCATTATGCAAATGTTATAGATTCTTTTCTTATTGCAAAAAGGTTATTTAAAATTTATAGATATTCATTATTTCTTTTTTGTTCTTCAGTAAAAGATCTATTAAAATGTACATGTTTCATTTTCATTTTTATACTATGCTTTATTTCATACATGGTAATACAAGACATATTAAATAATTTTAAGATGCATATGACAATTTTGTTCATTCTTTTTCCGTATAAACAAACCTACAATGAATGTGCAAACTATAAATTCAACTGCTTTCACTCCACGACAAATAGACAATAAGACTCACTCACCTGGTACAAACATTCCTCGACCCCGCCCACGACCTCTCTTCCCTCTCCCGTAAGTTTGTCTGATTATACGAGGCTGATGTTTTCCAACAGACCCTGACACAGTATTGTTCGCAGCATTTATCACTTTCACATATATCTCATTTTGTTCTTGGAACTTTTTCGAATAAAAAGAATTTTTATCTAATGTTGTAATAGTTGAACTAACAGTAAGAGTTTCAGGGTTAAGTTTTCTACGTTTTGTTTCCGGATTCCCATCCCCGGACTTATTAGGGATCACATATCTAGTAGCACTAGTGAACATCCGTTTACAACTTTCACATTTAAATTTATCCATACTAGTAGTTCCACAATACTGACATACAGCGTAAGCACTTGGATCCTGAAAACAGACATTTTCATACTGAAAATTTTTCAATGATCCTGTAACACAATTTTTTTTTAATGGTTTTTATATCTTAAATATGATGCTCAAATGAGTATTTATCAATCAACTTTCAAAAAAGTATTCTTTGTAAAAATATTACCGAATTTAACATTTAATGCAAATGAAGGGAGGTAATCAGAAATTTATTTTCGATAAAGTCTAAGCAAGTTTTTTTCAATAAAGAATAAATTTATGCATTAATCTTAACGTTTGCAAGTTTTTTTCCAATATTGAAAAAATGCATTAATCTTAATGTTTAAGTATAATGCATATAAACATTTGCTGTACATATTTAACACAATCTTGGATGTTTGGAAATTGTTTTAGAAGAATAAATATGTACATATATAAAACTTCACTTTAGTGTATGTTACATCCTTAATTACAACAGACAGGATCTTTAAACTTGGCAACTGTTTGGTCTCCACTTCAGATATACAAATTGTTGGACATTGTTAATGTTAGAGATTCTGATTAACAGAAGAATTAATTTAAGCAGTCTTAAGTATAGACTGCCATATACTCCCTAGATTGTTTTCCTTGTCTGAAAAAACATCTGCGACTTTCTAATTAGGAATGTATGCATGACATGTCAAACTTTGAGGTGAATTATTTACTCACAGTCTTCATACCATAATACACATATTATGTTATTAAAAAGGAAATTTCAATAAGGAAAAAAATAGGCCTAGAGCTGTAATATGAGGTGGAAAACCCATGTTGGAAAAAGTTTAAAGGGCAGAGCCATGTACTTACTTTAGGTACATTAGGGGGATCTAATACATGTTCTTTATCAGAGCTTGCATCATTCCCCTTCTGGTCTCCTTGGTCTGTCCCACCAGCATCTGACCTATTGGCATATAAAGTTATTTTAATATTGTGTCACAAAAATTCATTTTCATATTGGTAATTTCTCAATTAATGAGGCTACATTGAACAATACCCTCTTCATGGCAAAAGTATGAAAAATTTGTTACTTGAAACAATGTGAGAACTGTTTTGTATTTATACTATATAACATTAGTCAATACTAACCACTTTGTAAGGGATGGTTATTCTTAAGCAAATTGTATCTAGTCTTATTGATAGTTAACGCATTTCAAGGGGAGCGGTGGCCTAGTGGTTAAGGTGTCTGCCTCTCAACCCAGGGATCATGGGTTCGAGCCATAATCGGGTCATGACCATGTTTTCTTCATATCATATGACACCAGTACTAGTTGGTTCCAGGAAGCGAACTCGAAAGTGATTAACATAAGTTGCAAGAACTTGTTTCACAATTGAGCTTAAATAAACATGTTTAAACCAAAATGCATGTCATTTTTGCCGTAAAGATTTAGAGAGTTAAAACAAAGGTTCATACTCTGACGATGCCTCGTCTGTAGGCTTGGACTTGATCTGTGCCGCTGGCATTAAATTCTGCAGAGGCAGCTTTGGTCGTTGTTGAACAACCTGTCCTTGTAGGCCAGGTGATGTCACGACACTGATAATTGGCACATTGGGTGTGCCGGGTGAGGTATGTATGACGTGTCCCTGGGATGATAATTGACGCAATTGTTGGTTACTTGGATGACCAACCTGTTGCATCAAAGTTTGTCGCATGTAATTCAACTGTGGTCGACAAGTCGGAACTGGTGTATTAAATTTTGTTTGTCTAACCCCGTTATTAATCATTGGTGAAGATCTGTAAATATATTATGTATTAAACATTAAAACAACTTACAAAAATTCTAACTGGAATGAATATTCTTTAAATCTTTGTATGAATAACATGCAATACTGATTTATATTCCCCCCCCCCCCCTCCGGTTAAGTTTTGTTAAATTGTTAAATTTTGAACAATCTAAGCGTACTCTAAAAAAGCTTATTTAAAAGTATCGTGTGTGTGTGTCCCTTTTTTTTATCTTCTATTATAACATCATGTACGAAGAACAACCAATCACATTTTTATAGCTTTAAGTTACTTTGTTGGCATTTATTCAGAATTACTTCTCAATATTTCCTCTAAAACATAAGCTGGAAAAAATATCTTCAACATCTTTGCCTAAAAATTAATTATTCAACAGAAATGTATTTAATAAATTGAAATATTTTCTCTGTGTGTTTAAGATATATATTCACAACTAGCATGTTAGCATTAACTCAAGGGTTACTAATCCTGTAAAATTTGAAGTAATTCATGTATGTAACATAAATAGGATTATATGTTTATTTTGAAAAAAGACAATATTAAAGAAAAATAATAAAGAAAAAAAATAAAGAAAATAGGTTTAAAAATGTACATTCTCTTACCCTCTGACATTTGGTGACATGTGACACGCCTGTGGCGTTTCCATAACATTGCCCTTGACCTCTACCTCGACCCCTGCCGCGGCCACCTCTAGCACCCCTGCCTCTTTGACTAGAATCTATAATGGGGCTGCTGAACTGTTAAGTAAGTACACAAACTTGTATAACTAATCAATGAATTATGACCGTTATAAAATTGCTAAAAAGGATGCCTGTATATAAATCCAAAGCATATGCCATAGGTTTATTATTTTTTATCATTCTTATTCAGCAAACTGTTTCGCAGAACAGTTGAATGTGATGCAGTTGTTCATTAAATTTGTTTGACCTTTAACATAATATTTAGTACACATAACTTAAACTTCATAACTGTTTTTAGTGATTCAATATAAAACATTAACATCTTTAAAATTTCTAAACATAAAAGATAACACTTTTAAAACTCTACCCAAAGTTCCCTTGTCCTTATCAAAAGGATGGAATTCTCCATTTGCCACAGCATTGTTCGTGCATTACCGTAACGATCACGAATCACATAGGCCTGTCCTTCTTCAAATTGGCCACCGCCTTCTAGCACAACATTGTTTTTATTTATTTTCTGCATTTGTGAACTTGTTTCCACTACAGACTGACTTTTGGGCCTGATTAGTTGAATACTGTTTGTACCTTTGTACCGGACTTTGTACGAGGTAGAGGTAGTTTGATTTCCTTGCACCGGTATCTGCATAACACTTTGCTTTATTGGAGTTCTTTGTTGGGATGAGAAATATTTGAGAGCTAGGCCACGGCCAGAGACCGTTATCACTTGAGTTTTTTGATGACCCTGTACACCTTGTGCTATTCTTTGATTCGTATTCGCCGGATAACCACCATTACTGTCCGGAAAATTAATATCCACTTTCCTTTGAGTTGTTGAACCCTGTGGCTGTGTTAAAATCTGGCGAATTCTACCTCCAGTGTCAAGCTGACCTGCAGGACTCTGAGCACTTATTGATCCGAGATAATCACAATTATTCAATATCTGTTGCTGTGAATTAAACTCAGACTGTGTGGAAATCACTGGCGGCGACATGTGAGGCTGAAGCCCTAGCGAGACCAGTTTTTTATCATTTTCCTCGATTTCTTTCTGAGTCTGTAACAGTTTTTGATTAATTTCTTCCTCTGAAGCACTACAACTGCTGTTTAGCAAAGACTGTTGCTGGACTCCTACAGGCCTGTTTTGCCCTTGCTGAATCAAGATACTTTGTCCCGCCTGCTGAGGTCCAGGCTGGCGTACAGATTTGTTCGATACCAATACCTGCTGCTGATGCTGATTCCCTGAATGGACGACCGTGTACAACATTTTCTGTTGAGCAGGTTGCTTCCTGTTCTGTGCCTGTTGTATGCCTCTTTTCTGGTTCTGCAACATGGTCTGTTTCTGTTGCAAATACTGTTGCTGCTGGGTTAAGTGTTGCTGCTGTTGCTGTGACTTTTGTTGTGATTGTTGTTGCTGTTTCACAATCAAACTTTGTTGCTGCTGCTGTTGTTGAAGTGCTAACTGTTGTTGTTGTTGTTGCTGCCCCTGCTCCTCCCCTTGAACATTGTTTTCTAGAATCACCTCTCTATAATGTATCAAACTAATGTTAAAGCAATAGTTTTATTTAGACAAACACAAATTAGACACAAATAAATGATAATCAATCAAACAGGAGATATAAAACAAACACTTTCAGCACAAATTTAGAACAAACATACATGTAATTTATGAACTAGAAAATAATTGAAAATTAATTTTTCACCTCAATTTACTGAATACAGTTGAATGACATTAACCATGTTAACGGAACTGAAAAAGTTAAATTTATTCAGAAAATGAAAAGACAATACAAATATGGAATGTCCAATAAAGAAATAATCCTGTTTATTGTCTTTTTTGATTTTAATAAGGTAACTGAATTCAAGTTGATCTTATAAAAAAAACAAGTTGTAACTTACTCCTCTACAAGAGCATCTGGCACATCTCCTGTGTTATTTTGACTAATTAAGTGATGGTAATCAAACTGTTTCCCTCCACCTGATGGTGTATCCATGCCAAATCTATTTGAAGTATTCCAGCCATGCCCTGCACTCTTCTCAGTTTCTTCAAGGGCTGTAAAAAATTAAAGTGCCCCTTTTAAGTTTTTAATCATATTTTTACAGTAATGCTTTACAAGAATAATTGCTACCAGTTTGCTTTTTTGCTATTTTACATGCCTATATGGCTTACATAATTAACTCAGTTATTTTATTTTACAACATCTTTTTAAATAATGAATTTTCTTCACATGACACTCATACATGTAAATCCCTAAATAGGAGAAGCCAACTCCTTCATTATAACTATTTGAGAAATAACCTATTTACTGGTATATTCAATCATCATTTTTACAAAATTATACAAGTTAACAAAGTCAGTTTGTGACAAGGTACCCTTAATGAAAAATATGAAGCCTTAAAATGGCAAATTGGCTCAAATTATTAATAAAAAATTCAAACAGTAATTAATATCAATTTTAAAATAAAATTAAAATCTTAAACAATCATCAAGTCAATAAACAAGAAGGGATTTTATCGAAGGCTGTGATAAGTAGTCTGAGAAAACTAATACGAAAAATTCCTACATGACCATAATTGCCGAAATTAACTAATTCTATAAACAGGAATAGGATGAGCACAGACCTAAATCAAATAGGGATACTGTGTCAAGCTGTATGCCAAAAACCAAAAGGCGGAAATAGTTCTGAGAAAACTGTTACGAAAATTTCCCGCTTGATATTAAATAGAAAATTTTAAAAATTGGTTTCAGGGAAGGGGAAAGGGAGAAAAAAACCACAATTGACCCGTTAAGGTTGCCCAAAATGAGGCATGATAAGTATTCTGAAAAACGTTTTAAAAATTTCCCCCCCCCGCCCCCCGCATTCCCAACATTACCGGTTCACCATGCAAACCCCGGGAAAATTTTGGCCCAAAAAATTTTTTACAGATGATTTCCAAATTTTTTTTAAAAAAAAAATAAAATTCACGGTAAAACTTAAACTTGAAAAAAACTTAAACTTTTTTTAATTAAACCCTTTTCTATTAACAATATTAAGGGTTTTTACAGTAAAAAAAATATAATAAGAATCAACTCAAATAAAAAAAGCTTTAAAAACAATTCCAATTAAGTATTTTAAAAAAATTTTAAAACCTTAAAAGATAAAAAGATATACTGTAGCATGAGATAAAATTATTTCCATACATTAACTTTATTACAAAAAGATTAAAAAAAAAAAAACATTCATTCACATTTACATTTTCAATGGTATATTTTTTTACTCATTTACTCATTTAGTTTTAAAAAATTTTTAAATTTTGAAAAGTGTTTAAGATTTTTAAATACATAAATTTTTAAGTTTCAACCTAAGGGGGGATTCCCCAATTTTGGGCCAATAGTTCCAAACTTTGTCACTAAAAGTTTTTTTTTTATTTAATGGAATAATGTAGCAGTTCTCAGATTTTTAGCTGAATAGTCGGATTGGTACTTTTTTGGTTAGGATTAAAAAGGTTTTTTTGGAGCATGACCGATTAACAATTGAATACCAAAAAGTCAGAATTTTATATTCGATTCTAATTTGACTGGCCAGCCCAGGAAGTCGAACAATTGCTTGCCTTGAACTGTCAAATTTCTTTCGTTGCAGAACTAACCTTAGCGCACATGTTTGAATACGTTGCATTTTTTTTCAATTTCAAAAATCGGATACACCATAAAGAATGACATTGCAATAATCCAAGTGTGACATTACGAGACACTGAAGGTGCTTGGGCAAATATTTTGTTTACAAATATTTGGTGTGAAAAATTTGACCCATTTAAACACTTGCATTCAATTCGCCAATCAAATGTAGCTCACTATGTGAAGGCCATTTGTTTATCGGCTACGTAAGAAATTTAATTAAATGAAAGGATTTAAACATGATTTGTCAGATGTGACAGTAAACTGTTTGACTATTTTATTAAAAGGTATTTCATATTTACTTTTGTTCATGAATAGCTCAAAATTAATGCATTTATATGCTGACGTACATGTTTAATCGTTCCGCAAGAACGTGCTATGGGTTAACTGTTTAGGGTTGGATACTGATAACTGGTACCCAGACCGTACCGAAAACAGTAAGGTTTTATAATTTACGGGTAAATACTGTTTCAAAAGGTACAGTTTTTTTCAAAACTAAAGCAAAACATATATATACTAAAATACAAAGGAAAGCAAATAAAATCAACCATTATTTACATCAATAATATCACAAAAAGAATGTGAAATGGTCATGGTCTGATATGTCCGTAATCCAAGTCAAGGGAGATCACTACCGAGAACTCACGGTAGCAGCGACATCCTATTTACAAAAACCTTTACTAATAATCTTCTGCAAAAATTCAAATACTTGATACCGCATTTGTTGAACATGTTTTGATGTTTTTTTTCTTAAAAAATTATGGTCATAAATGTGTTTTGTAATAAAACATTTTTGCAATTTGCATTAAAATATTCGAATTTTATAATACACCATGTCGTTGCTGATGTCATTTATTCACGTCATACATGTTATCTAAGAGTGCTACAGCCCTCACGGTGCCAGCGGCCCCACTCAGGTTTTCCACATATCAATGAAATTTACAGTGTCAGTTCTAGTTGGAGCCGCCATTTTCAATGTAACTCAATGATAATAGCAGGGTATTCCGATGACAAAAAATTGGAACTTTTCAGATTAGTAATAATCATCGAGTATTCAGTGTTGCATCTAGTCCGCGCGATTGCGCCATTTGCGCATTTTTTATGAAGATCGCGCATTTTAATGAAGTCAATGCTCGCCAAGTCGCGCATCTGACAATCTTTTCAACTTAATTCAGTTTATCTACATCCTATCTTGAACGCTTCAGCCATGTTTGTTTTCACTCGTGGTTATGACTAAAATACGTACTAAATCGCGTGTAGCAGCAGACTGGGTCACCTCGCATGTGTTTTGTAGTATTCGTCAATACTTTTATTTTTCTACTTTTGTTTTTGAGCGACCGATAGCTGTCAAAAATGCCTGAACGTAAATAAATAAATTCTTTTTGGTATGTCATATTGTAAGGTAAATGTATGTCCCCCACATTTTTTTTCAAATCCACCACATTTTTCAGTTGAGTGGGGGACAATCCCCCATAATTTTGTAAATCTAGATGCAACACTGGTATTCCAAACGAAAATGGAAGCTGTGCATAAAATACCAAACGACACCTATAAAATGGAAAAAACGAAATATTTTTTAATCGACTTCCCCGTTCATAGTGTTTGCCTAATTTCATATATCTTTATCGGGTATAGATGGATACCGAAAATAAGCTATTTTCGCGAAAATAAGATCGCGGCTACGAAAATAAGATTTATTTTTGCTATAGTACATTTATCCGTTTAATTTATTAATTTATTTAAACATTTATACATTCTTTGAATGATTTAACAACAAATTAACATTTCAAAACCAAAAAAAATATCGTAAAAAGTGAAGTTTGAGCCGAAAATGCATCGTACGAAAATAGCTCAAATCGCCGTGTAAAGCGAAAATAAGATCGGGTATACGAAAATAAGCTTTATTTTATAATGTTGGATTTATTTCTTTAAATACTTAAGTTGATTAAAAATATATGTTTTATTTCATAAATTTTACAGCTGATAAAATATTAAGAAATATGAATAATACCTAAAAATGTGTAGTTTATGCCGAAAATACGTCACACGAAAATAACGGAACTCGTGGAGAAACGCTAAAATCATGGGTGTTTTTTTTTTTTTTTTTTTTTTAATTTGAATAAAGGAATTTACCTGTTAAATTTGTTATTACAAAAAATCATTAAAATACCTGTTTGTTCCGAAAATCACTGAAATACATATACGAAAATAATTACGCCGCTGTCTTATTTAAATCTTATTTTCGTAGACCCGATGTTATTTTCGCTTTAAGCTATTTTCGTACGATAGTATTTTCGGCTCAAACTTCACTTTTTCAAATATTTTTTTAGTTCTGAAATTTTAATTTGCTGTAAAATCATTCAAGGAATGTATAAATATATATTTTACATAATTATTTCAACAGATAAATGCACTTTTTCAAAAATAAATCTTATTTTCGTAGCCGCGATCTTATTTTCGCGAAAATAGCTTATTTTCGGTATCCATCTATACCGATCTTTATCATACTTAACAATATCAGGAGTGAGGACTAATAATTTAAAAGGAAAAAATCAACGACCAAGTATGCATTTGTGACTTTCCAGTCAAAAGGGTTTTCTTCTTCAAACTATTTCTTGAAATGACATAAGAACATGTTATTTGTGCATAATAGAGCTTGATCTTCACAAGTTCACGACTTTTGTCAAACAAATGCTGCAAATTCACGTTTTTCGGGCCCTTTGTTTTCACATTTATAAAGAGTTTTTGCATTGTATTACTGATTTATATACATCCAAATAACCAAATACCTGGTAATAGAGACATATTCTAAGGAAATATCGCGTGACCTCCGCAATAAATGATTTTTTTGCTTAACTCTTTCTGCGAACAGAGGATTTTTCAGCCATCGTCGGAGCCAAGCCTAGTTCTGGTTGTCGTAAAAAGTTTTTAAATTCTTTAATCAGGATAGTATACATGAAAGAACAATTTGTTTATTTTGACTTTTATTTTGAAAATAGATGTATTGTTTATTCAATAGCAATTTTCATTTTCAATAAAATCCTCGTTTACGACATAATTATCAGGCGAAGCAACTCTTCCACCGTGACAAGGGAGACAATTCGAATTTTCACGGATTTCCGTCAAACTTCGGATAAACGATACATTTATTTAGCGGGAAGATTTAAATGTAATGAATGAGTTCATTTATAGTTGATAGATAAACTTATTAGACTAGCTTATGTGACTTAATTTGGTCAAAAAAACATATTAAAAGTCGTGTTTTATATCCTTGATTAGGTGATTAAAGAAACCCTTTTGTCAATGCAAAACACATTTTACATGATATTTTTTCTGCATACGTACCTGGCAAAATGTAGTTTTATGTTTCTAACTATTGAAAGCATACGGAACTTACATTATATCCCATTATGTCTTAATTTTTCTTTTTATCTCGTCAGCAACTTGTATAACTAATTTATAAAAGTTTTTTTTTTGCCCCAGCTAATGTTAAATTTGTTAAATTTGCAATTGATTAAAAAAGCAGACACTTGTTATGCCGCTTAATACGACCCGCTCAACCCCACCCCAACCCTTTACTTGTATGATAATCTCTAATTATGCACATTTTCTTAGTATAGTTTTTAATTTATTACTTTCAGATTGAGAAAATATATTTTTATAGGATCTAGCGTGTCACGTACTTTTTCATTTTCTCTTTTATAATGTTTTGCAAAATTTGAAGTTAAACTTATGAAGGTTAAGCAAAATTGAATGTAGAGCTAATTGATTTTTAACTGTCATTGAACGGATTGAATGTATTATCAATTTTATTCTGTTTGAAAATCTGAATTGCATTCGCGAAATTTTTAACAATTTTGGCTGATATGTACATAATATATTATATACATGTATATATTTTCTTCCATTCTCTCATTGATCACCCTAATCTTGAATACGAATGTGTGTAAAACTAAATGTTCACAAAAAGCATTGTGAGTATGAAATTCCCGGGGGTCTAAAATCAAGTTCGTTGTAAAAAAAAACTAAAATTAATTAATTAATTAATTAATTAACAAAAAAGAAAGAAAAAATGCCTTTTCCAGGATTCGAACCAAGGTCTCTACACTCACAGAGCGAACACCACAACTACGCTATAATATGCTAAGTATACGCATAAAAATATATAAGCAGTATGCGTTTATAAAAGAATAATCGACATCCCTGATATGTCAAAATTGATGTAAACAGATAATGAAAGGAATAGCGAATTCGGGCAAACAAAAAATCTGTAAAATATTTTAGTTCACATGATTTGGTCACGTTATATATGATTTGTGTAACCGTGCATTTTTAACATCTGATAAAATCAAGGAATTTAAATTTTGGCATTGTATATATTTAGGTTAAAAAGTGTACAAAAAGACAATAAATCAATCTCTGTGTACAAGGAAGCACGGAATTATGTAATAAATCCGTGAAGGAAGCTAATATACAACTAAAATACCATGTCATGTAAAATTTGTACTGCATCGTATACTCGTGTAATTGTAAATAACATGCTTGGAGTTATAGAAAGGTATGTTCTGTTCTGTTCCTTTCATAAAGCATCGTGCCTATTACAGGCGATAAAAAACTTTTGATTTTTTTAGTAGCGTGGTGGCCGAAAGGTTAAAGCGTCTTATCTAAGGATTGCCGTGTGGGTTCAAACCCTGTCAGGGGCAAGCCGTTGTTTCCGTTCGCAAGTTGTTTGCATGAGCAAGAAACTTTACATTCATTGCTTATTACTGGTTTGTTCCCGGAACGGATTCGAGAGTTTTCAATAAGCTTATAGCTTCTAACGCAATCGAACTAAAATAGGCTTGTATAAACTAAATGTGTTTTTTATTATTCAGTAAATTCCGAGTATAAAGTTGGACGAATCACGGCTGACACAACTGAAGTAACCATAGTGTGCGAGACGTAAATTCAGAAGCAGCGGTCGGACATAAATCTAAAATGACAATTGTTTAAATGACGAGTCATACTCACTTTTCCAGAACATGCATATAATTGACAAACCTTGGACTCTTTCAAGAGGTGGCCTTTTATTGTGGTTGGTGGTAAATACTAAAGTATAAAGAATATATATAATATATGAGTCATTGCTTATTGGGCACTTAGAAAACCAAACCTAAAGACTGACTTATCACGGAAAAATTTAATTCATTTAAAGATAAAAGCATGAAACACATGTTAACAAGAATACACTCATACAATGCACATCTAGATTTCCACTTTAAAGAGTCCACTTCCTTAAAATAGTATTAAATCCTAAGTCACGTGAATTACAAGTGCGCAGTCATGAATACTGACTGACATTTTAAACGATGATTATGGACAGGCAGTCGGATATATCAACTCTGATTCTCCGGGCATTTTCTTTGGCAAAACGGTCATCGAATATGGCATTTGTTGGAATATATTCGTCGGAAACATTCGAGGCGTTGGCTTTAACAGATCGCGAACACGTGCAAATAAAGACTGGACTTATGCCTCAGAAAATTGCTGTTGAAATTCAACCAAGTCAAGTTCAAGCGATTGTTCGGCATATCCGTACGCCTGAATACCCATTGACACAAATAAAGATAGCGAATTTGCGTTTTGTTTGTTTAAGAAACGGAAGTGGTTGCATGACGGGTATGTCAAATTTTAATATAGACTCGACAGCTGATTCTAAATATCGTATTGACAAAACTGTGTATAATATTATACATAAGCATTACACAAGCCAAGACCTTTTGGATGGTCATCATGCTTTAAATATCTCGGCAATATTGAAGGAAGAGTTTATAATAATCGGAATGTGTAAAGCGGGAGAAGAATATTCATTGAAAATTAAAGCGGAAGAAGAATCATCACTGAAAATTCTCAAGGCTATTTTGGAAGATCCTACAAATGCGGATGATGAAATATCCGTGAACCGAGCGTCTGAAAAAGAAAGTAGGTCCACAGAAAGTACTCTATTTGACGAAGAAGAAAAGTCATTCAATTTCTCATTTAGCTCTAGCTTTGAAAATGGAAACGAAACTAGTAATCTTTTAGTTGAATCGGAAGTTGAACTCCGCGAATCCGCTTTGTCACCTGAAGAAAGAAAAAAACTAAGGCAGAAGAGAGAAACCTCTTTCTGCGAAGACTGGCGGAAAGCTACGATCAAATCTATCGATGCCTTAAAGTTGATTGGCCCTTTCAAGTCAGACGATGAATTTACGGACAATCGACCTCTTATTGATAATATGGAAAGCATTGGATTTGACCAAGATGTAAAAGTGTCATCCGAGTCCGAATCAGACTCGGATGATATGGAGACTGAGCATGGGTCAGAACGGAAAAAGGGACATCGTGTGATTCGGAGGCCATCACGTGCTACCATGGTGTAATTGGCACAAACATTTTCAAAACAAAACAAATTCCAAATTTGACACATCAATAGGATATTGTGGCGATTCATATGACATGAAACCGGATCTATTGTCAAAACAACGGCAACATTTTATTAACTGGAAAATTTGTTATTAACTGGAAAATTTGTATTTTCAAATCTTTTTGAACAAACATTTTACATGTTGGCATTTGGAATGAAAGAAGTCAGGGTAGATTCTTAATAAAATGAAGTGAATTTGTGAATATTTTGGAAACCTCGAGACTTTGTGATTATATGTTTGTGATATTTGACAAGTGTGAATTTTATTTGTGCTTTCTTATAAGCATTCTATATTTGCTGTTCTAGTTACAACTGAGTTATTAAATTACACATGTTTATTATAGTTCTATTAAATTTCCTGTAAGGTGTGAAAGGTAAACAGCGGATTGTAATGATAAAATTAAAATTAATCATGATAAGGAAACATTTCATGTTATTGTTTTTCTAAAGTGTTTATGTTATCGTGTATTATACATGTATTTCACTGAACATGTACATACAACAAGTGTTTACGGAAACGATACATAATTGCGTATAGATAGAAACGATTTAATCTAAGGGAGTGTTTGTATTTCAATACTTCATCAGTCCAGATTAAATTTATTATGGTACAAGCACTTTCCTTTCGCTGCTTCCGAGTATATTTAGAATATAGTATTCAAATCATATCATATCCAACTCGATAAAGATGTAGTGTAAGCGTTCATTATCAGTTCCGGAAGTTGATACATACATATTGTTCATGCACTTTATGTATCCGAATTGACATTGAACTTTCAAACTATGATAAACACATGCGTTTAGTGATTAAGGCATATTTGAAAAGAAAGAAAGAAAGTTCTGTTTGAAAGACCCGAATGAAACCAATGATATAAATGATATAAATGAATGAATGAATGAATGAATGAATGAATGAATGAATGAATGAATGAATGAATGAATGAATGATTATTATTATTATTATTAAATTATTAGTTAATTAATTGATCAATTTTAGTAAGAAAATTTATCAATTTCAGCGAGTGGATTTGAGGCCATCAAAGGTCAGATATTGATTTAGGTTAACTTCGAAGTCAGTCCTCTGTATCCCATATGGGTGGCCACTGGCTGAGTGGCTGTCTCTAACACGGATAGTTAAATCTTCCGTGCATGTGTATGATAGTCATTGATTCGAATCAGTTTTTCGCTTGTATGTGAAATAGCGAATCTTGACTTTTTAACAACAAATTGTGCCTTTGAGCGAAAACCTTTTGGAAATGCATTTGTATCTTCTCTATTGAAAATAAAATAAAATAAAATTGAAGATGTAAATTTAACAAAATTTGTTTTTCATTTCACCTTTCCTAAGTACATTTACCTCACTTTTCTTATTGTCCCAGCTGGTCAATATTAACTCTGTGGCTAAAAGTCAGTTATTTGCAGCATGCAGTATTAAAATAATAAGTGTATCAGTTAATGGAATTATGATTGCTTATGGAAGTGAAGACGCAATACTAGTATAAAATAGAATTTCATAAATTTATTATATGTTGATTACTTTGTTCATTTTCTTTTTATTTATCTATTCGTTTTTAGATTTCAAGCGATTTTCGTTATTTATAAAATCGTCTGTTAAATTAAAATATATCTGTGTAAAGCCAAATTAAACCAGATCAACGTTCAATTGCGAAAACACGTGACGTCCGCGAAAAGTAACGCGCATGTTTTGGCGCTTATGTGACGTAACAAATAACGTCACGTAAATCTATTAAAAATTAGTTTCCGGTGGAAAAAAAGGCAGGCATTTTTTAATTACGGATTGCCAATGAGAGGCTATTTATGACAAGACTAGTGTTCATCGGCGTTTACTTGCTTTTTAGTGCCGTGGTCGCTGGAGAAAGGTTTGATTTTTTTAATATTTGCACGAAAGTTTAAAAATTACATTACAGTAGCTCTATTTGTTATTATTATCAGTTATTTTATTATATAATCATAGACAGTTGCATTTTTTTCAATGAAGAAAATCTTACTTGAAATAATCAGGTTGATAGTGTTTGTAATAATAACAATTCTATAATAAAATAGCGTTATTGGCCTAACTATATACCATTTTCGAGGCAAGATATACGAAAGCTGTAGATGTACTTTATAATGTTTATAATGACGCGTACTATGTGAAATAGTAGCACAAAATATATATGCAAGAAGGATACTTGTTTCCTACCAGTTTCCGACCCCTAGCAGTTTTCCGGCCCTTTATCATTTTTATCCATTAGAGTGTAATTTTTATCAGTTAAACACCTATGTCACTTCATCAATCAGAGAAACATTTGTTGTCTATGCAATACAGCAGTTAAAATAGTACGGCGATTGTTATGTTTTTAAGTTTTGCCTGTTGTTAAAGGCTGGGAAATTTGAGTCTGAATGCCCATGCACAATAACGGAGATCCCTTCCTAGGTAAATCATTACTTTTAATCAGACGACAGGGAAAAGGTTGGGAAGTTATATTTACTTAACATTGCTTACTGGTACAGAATTATATTCAAAATAAAAAAAGTCTGAAAAACTGCTATGAAATTTTTAATAAAAGTGAGAAAAGGTGTTACATTTCAGGCGTTTATTTCAATTAAAAAGTAAAATTGAAGATCAACATTAAAAACATAGTAATGCTTGACAGGTACCTAACTTCGTTCTGTCAAATATTTGTACTCTTCCGTAGACAGATTTTTATTTTATTTGTAAAAAAGTGGGAACTGCTAGGATACCAGTAAAGTATAAAAAGTATAATAATTCATTCCTGTCGTTAGAATTACAGCGAACTCATAGACATTGTCATTTTAAATTACAAAATTTGTAAGGCCGTTAAGTTTTGTTTATATGATTTATTTATCAAATAATTCATTCATTCATTCAAGTTTTCATTCATTCATTCGTTTGTTCGTTCGTTTATTCATTCATTCATTCATTCATTTTTGTCTGGTATCGTTTATAAACGTATAAAAATACTATAAGTAATAGAAAGAGCACCGAAACACGAGGCTATCTGATTTGTACGAGGGGGCGTAGCCCCCGAGTATTAATCAGATTGCCGAGTGTTTTGGTGTTCTTTCTCTTTTGTATCATAGTCAAACATAAAAGCACGTTCCCTGCTGTCACACTATGAAACCCCGGCAAAAATGAAGCAATGAACGAACATCTGAATATGACATTTCTCTCGCTTTCCCTTTCTCTGCCGTCACAATATGTAAAGCCCACCAAAAATGAGCCAATCAATGGCCATGCTCTGGAGTGCGGGTAACTAATACCCGCACTCCAGTTAACGCACTGTGCATGTATATGTATACTATTTAACCCTGACACATTTTCAACAGAAAGGTCTCCAAACTATGATACAACTTTAAAGAAACAAAACTGTCGCACAAGGTAATATTTATTCTTATTAATCTATTAATTATTTCACTCTCATCTATATAGCTCTATATGTATATACATTCATACATAAAATAACATGGCAAATAATTATTTAATTTTGTGTATCGGCTGAATTAAGATGAAAGTAGTCCTGCAAGACTCCAATAAAAATACAAAAAATATCTTTCAATGCAGTTAAAAATATTTATTGAATAACAATTCGGAAAATGAAAATGTGCATTTTATTTCATATCTATTTCTCAATATTTCATTTATCAATATATGAGCCTCGTCACGACAAAACCAACATAGTGCGTTTGCGACGAGCATGGATCCAGACCAGCCTGCGCATCCGCGCAGTCTGATCGTGATCCATGCTGTTCGCTATCAGTTTCTCTACTTGTAATAGAGTTGGTAAGCGAACAGCATGGATCCTGATCAGACTGCGGATGCGAAGGCTGGTCCGGATCCATGCTGGTCGCAAACCCATTATGTTGGATTTGTCGTGACGCGGCTCATATAAAGAATAAGTTTAAACTAATGACAAGAGTACAAATTAACTAAAATGACGTAGAATAAATGATCCCTGTCTCTTTAAAGGCCCATTATGTCCCAGAAATATTTTTATATTTATTTCTATAGAAAGCATTTTTATCTTAAGGGTACTGATATAATTTCTATAAAGTTACTCACTGGCCAGTTACAGGGCTGGGAATCAAAACTGCGTCGTATCCTACAAAATGTAAACAAACGCCGCCATCTTGGAGCGAAAAAAAAGTATGTTTTTGTTTATAACTGTTTTTGTTGGAAATGACTGAAAACAAGATATATGTATTAACACGCTACACTATTTTCCGCTTCGTTCGGTATATGTTGCTTGCACAACTATTTTGTAAAACAAAAGTTATAGCGAACTTGCAAATCGAAGCGGGGCAGAATTTTTATGAAAATGTGTGGATACGACGCAGTTCATATTGCTTTATCCATCGTTTTTCCTTCAAATCAATTATATACTCGTTTTCAGAGTTCACCACAAACTTCAAAACATGATTTTGCATCATTTACTAAACTTTCATTTAAAAGAGATGTTTATTTTCCAAGAAAATAATGATTTTTACGAAATGATACGACGCAGTTGAAAATAAAATATGATACGACGCAGTTGTATTTTCATTGCAGGCTGAATATTGGTTAAACTATTTTAATTATGTGCTAGGTATATGCTAATAACGTCCAACAACATTTCTTGTTTACAACTTAAGTCAAAAGCAGAGGTCACTCATTGGTTTCATAAAAATGGAAATGTAATACAATTCTTTTAAGGCTGCATTTTTCGATTGCATTTTAGTACTAATCATAAGCATCTACAAATTCCGAAAAGCTGTATCAAATGCAATATACATTGAAATACGTGATCGCACACCCACATGACAACGTGTTCTAGTGTTGCCTTAGCATGCTTATAAACTTGTTCCCGTGAGTTTGAAATGGGAGTGATTACTATTTATGATACAAAATTCAATATTCCAGTGCAACCTCTCCTGGACCCTGTATTAATCAGGAATGACAAAAAACAAAAGAGAAAGAATTACAAATTTTGAAAAGGTCTCTCGCTATCGGGAATGCGCAAATTGCATGCCTTCCTTTGTTACTTGTAATTAGCAATAATTTCCGTCAATTCCGTTATTACGTATGTCTTTTACGTGCCGATTTTATTGTCTTCATTTTCTTAATAATCGATGAGAACAGATGAGCTTTATTATTTGAAACTGAACATTAAATTGTTAAAATTATATTATAAATGGTTAAGCTACAATATATTTTTGCAAGTAGGTTATGCGTTCCGTTTAGTCATTTTATGTTCAGTGCCGCGGAACTTTACCCCTGATTTTGTCGTATTGCGTTTCTTTATCGCCGATGAGGAAAGGTCTACGGAATGTATTTTCTATATTTGCACTTATAATTATCATTCTTCTCCGTCAAAAAACTTTAAATTTTCAAAATCGAGTTACATATGATACAACTACAAATTATTTTGTAAAAATGGTGTCCGTTTTGCAAAGGTATTTCACGCTATGCACCGATAAATTTGATGCAGATATAGGCAGACCTGATCTTTCAACAGTATTGAAGAATTATTAAGTTTTCACAATATTGAACAGAAAATTTAGGTCAGATTATCGTATCGAATTTTCAACAGACTAGAGACATGGCATCTTAACATACCTTCCTACTCAAGTGTGATTTTTATTTGATAATGAATTGCCTGAAAACTTAAACAAAAGTTTTAAACAAAAGTTTTAAACAAAAGTTTTAAACAAAAGACTACACAGAGGATTACCCCCTGTTTACATTGAAAATTTCTCTGCTAGTCATACCGAAATAAGAAATTTAAATTTTATTCTCTTTATAATTAATTCAAATATTTATAATCTTAAAACTTCACGCCAGAAGCTAATAAAAAAGCTGCTTATTTGTACAGCTGACTTTAACAAATTTTGTTGAAAAAACAAGTCAGACAGGTGTGTCCGACCGAGGCCGAGCTGTTTATGTTTACTGAATTCAAATCACTTGAACTGAACTGCTATGAATTCGAAAACCACCAGGGACTTTTTATTCTTTCGTGTGGAAAACCTATCAAGCTAGTTTCAAAATGTCGATGGTTCTCTGCAGTTGCAACATTTTGCCTGAAATAATGCACAAAGGCGCACCTGAGGTCCTCGCCCCTAGTAAAGCTAATGTGTAGAGTGAAAGTTTGAAAAGAAACCACAAAAAAGCAGTCATTACCCAGAACATGCAGAACCACAGTAAACTTAGAGCGTAGCTAGCAAAAATGAATTCAAGTAAATAGATTTCTTCATTATTTTTGCGAAAAAAATTAGGGATAATATTGAACATACAGGAAAATATAAGAAATTATTTCAGATATTATGATCAACAAGGTAACATGTTCATGTTTAACTGAAAAGTCGCTTCCGCAATGTAAACTTTCAAATTAAATGGTATAATGGACATGACACATTGTATTCTAAATAATTAAAAGCAACAGAACATTGCTATACACCGCAAATGATCTGGGTTTTTTTATCTAGCGCAAGTGATTATTCCATAAAATAGAATTGTATCATAGTTTGGAGACCTTTCTGTTGAAAATGTGTCAGGGTTAAATCGTATACATATACATGCACAGTGCGTTAACTGGAGTGCGGGTATTAGTTACCCGCACTCCAGAGCATGCCCATTGATTGGCTCATTTTTGCTGGGGTTTACATATTGTGACGGCAGAGAAAGGGAAAGCGACAGAAATATCATATTCAGATGTTCGTTCATTGGTTCATTTTTGCCGGGGTTTCATATTGTGACAACAGGGAACGTGTTTTTATGTTTGACTATGATACAAAAGAGAAAGAACACCAAAACACTCGGTAATCTGATTAATACTCGGGGGCTACGCCCCCTCGTACAAATCAGATAACCTCGTGTTTCGGTGCTCTTTCTATTACATGTATTGCCAAAATTATCCCTGTTGAAAAGACTGCCAAAAACACAACTGCGTCGTATCATATTTTATTTTCAACTCCGTCGTATCATTTCGTAAAAATCATTATTTTCTTGGAAAATAAACATTTCTTTTTAATGAAATTTTAGTAAATGATGCAAAATTATATTTCGAAGTTTATGGTTAACTCTGAAACAAATATATAATTGATTTGAAGGAAAAAACGATAGATAAAGCAATATGAACTGCGTCGTATCCACACATTTTCATAAAAATTCTGCCCCGCTTCGAGTTGCAAGTTCGCTATAACTTTTGTTTTACAAAACAGTTGTGCAAGCAACATATACCGAACGAAGCGGAAAATAGTGTAGCGTGTTAATACATATATCTTGTTTTCAGTCATTTCCAACAATAAAAGTTATAAACAAAAACATACGTTTTTCGTTCCAAGATGGCGGCGTTTGTTTACATTTTGTAGGATACGACGCAGTTTAATTTGATTCCCAGCCCTGAGTTACCTGAATCGTCTTTTGATTCTGTTGCTTTTTTGCAATGACTACAATTAAGGTGATTTATTATTTTGTATGGCAGTCAAAATACTACGTTGTTTACATTTTACTACTTTTTGACAAATAATTAAACATTCAACGCTTATTTCTTCAGGCGATAATCATCTAAAATGCCCAAAAACCATTATATTCTACAGAAGAAATTCCCCCATTCATTTCTGAAGCACAATATTCTTCTTATCAAGGCAAATATGAATAATGAGGCTCTTCACTTAAACAATATTTTGAATATTTAACAAACAATTTTTTTTTCATTCGCCTGTGTCGTAAAAATTATGTTTGTGAAATTATTTTCAGTGATGTATGCAGCAGCGTCGAGGACAATCCATGTCGGAATTTTCCCCTGTCTTTGTTAGACTGGTACAAAGATACCAATGAAGCCGACATCGACGGTTCAGTTCCCGACGACGTAAAGTTTCTAAACAGCGACGGCTCCCTGTCAGTTATTGGGCGTCTTTTACTTTTCCCTGTTTGCTATTTCGATGAAAGCTACTGTGTCGAATATGGCCAAGGTGCCGACGAAAAATGGAGCGTGATTAAAGTGTGCCAAAATAGCGACGAAACGTGTTTACTGGAATACACAATTGAAACAGGTTAGAGCATGCTAATATTTATCATAGTGAACTTTTCTAACTTATGTATAAACGAACAGTAGGCATGAAAAGAACTTCAAGGGTGGTAACTAAAGTCATTTTTTTAAACTATCGGATGATAGTTTACTTCAAATTGAGTGCAGCGGCGGCATGGTCGAGCGGTTAACGCGTCGGACTAGTAATCTATGGATTGCTGGTCGCGTGGGTGCAAACCCCTTTTGGGGTCTACCCGTCGTTTTCTTAAGCACGAAACTTTACACTTATTGCTTGATAGGCGAACGGATTCGAGAGTGCTTCAATAATAAGCATATTGAACAATCGAACTAAAACAAATGCGTATAAAGTACATTTAGTATACACTCTTTTTCACTCATTTTTGTGTTACCAGTTATTGCCTATCTGATATATATAAAAAGGGACTTACATAACGCTTCGATTTTATGTCAATACATTATTGTTTAATTAGCCGCCCGTATACTTTTGTATTATATAGAGGATATTTGTTTGTTTTGCATGTAAGATTGAAATATAATTTCACTAAGTGAACACCAGATGCAATATTTTCACAAGTGGCGTAGCCACGAGTGAAAATATAATAGCTGGTGTTCACGAATGAAATATATTTCTATCTTATATGTAAAACAAATAAATTTTCTTTTTATTTCATGCTTTTTAAGTGATTTTAAGTATTTTTTACTGATTTTGCCGCGTAACGTCGCGCATTCTCCTTTGTGACGTCATCACATCATCAATTTTGAATTATAGTTCTGTTAAATTTCTCTAATTTTGTTACATTTTTAACATGATGTATGGTAACATCGACGTTCTTTTCCTAAAGAAGCACAATTTACGTATGACGGCATTTATTTCTGACTGTTATTCTATTTAGTTATGATTTTCTTTTCATCCGCATTCGGATATAGTCCGGCTACAGTGAAAATTATATTTTATAAATTTCACTAGCGGTTTATCAGAATGTAATCATCTGATATATTACAATAAAACACTGGAAAGCATGAAATAAGGTATCATAGCCTACACTATCTACAATTATACACGAATTATCACTGCTCCGTACTCTTAATGTTCGTAACTGATCTGTTTACTCGTATATTTGTTTTGTTTTTCTATTATGACTTTTGATAACTACATGTATTATATATACAAAACGTTTAAGCATACCATACCTTGTTTATTATTCAAACATTTCTCAACCACAGTATAATATATATTGTTCTTTCTTTTCTGTCCATATTTTTTCATTTTTTTTCTCTTTAGAAAAATATTGACAAGAAGTGTTAATCTTGAACTTGTGATGCAACACATGCAAATTATTTTCAAAATATGTCATCTATTTGATTAAAACTTCCAAACTTTTGAATTTTTTTTTCATAGAAATAATATAAATGCACCTTTAATTTACAGGTTGGCATGCTCTACATGGCATTATAGGATCTATACGACAGGCCAATTTAGTATCACCTGCAAATTGCTTACAGATTTTGTACGGCATATACTCAAACACAGTATCTAGTCTACACTTTGTGCTTTCTTTTGTGAAATCAAGCTTTATAACAATGGCGGCAAATGTTACAGGGTTAAATCTGCTAGATTGTAGAGTATTGGGGATAATGGAAGTCATCCAGGAAGTGTTTAGAAACATCACGTGGGCCATGATACGTTATGCCGTCGTCGGTATAATTGCCGTTTCCCTGTTCCCGTCCACTAGGCAGATAAGTAAGTACATGCAGTCTGTAATATTGTAATTAGACGACTGTTTTTTTTACTAGAAGTTCCTATGATGACATCAACTTGCGTGCATAAAAGCTTAGTTTCTGACAGACATGTCTGCTACTGTCAAATAATACCAATGCTTTGGAACGGATATTTACGATTAATATTATTTTAATTAGTGTAATTTCATACAAATTGCTATTATCTTTATAAGTCATGTAAGTACGCCATTAACTAATGAAAAAATGAATAAAATAAACAAAAAATAAAATAATCTAAAGTAATTAGCAGACCTGTATCATGTAGGGTGCTCAAATGTCATGTGTTAGTCAATTGACAACCACTTTGGAGATACTTGAAGAGATTTGAGATTTGGTTCTTTATTTTAAGAGGCCATGGCAGTTTTACAAAAGAGTGTTGTGGTTTTCGAGCTTTTTTAATTTTTAAATTCAGCCAAATTTGACAAAGATTAAAATCATTTATAATACTGCATGTTTGTAACGCCGTTTTTCATTGGGTAATCGTGACGTTTATATAGTTTTATATACACGGCTAGCCTAGCGGCTCGGGTTATATTTCCAAACAACCGTTTATATTATTAGTTATAAATATTTTTGACAGGTTATATGGCCCTATATAAACGGTTGTTTGTAAAGCGACGTTACAAACGTGCAATCTTATAAAGGGCCTTATAACTTGTCAAAACCTGTATACCTAATAATAAATTGATACTAAAAGTTGTTTTTGAATACTTAGAGGTTTGAGATTTGGTTTTCCATGATTTCTTAATGGTCATCATATATTTTGTAACACATTTCAGGAAAATATACAATGAAAGCCGTAGGTGCAACGAAGTATTTGTGTGGGCCATCAAAAGAAAAGAATTGGTGTAAACCATCTCTGAGTACAATAGAAAACACTGCAGTAAACTCGGGGTTGATAGGGGCAACAACTGTCATTGGAAGTTTAGGACCTCTATCTGTTGGAAATGTCCAAATGCTGAAAGAACATTATCCGATGTGTGAATATTTTGATATACAAGAATGCAATTGTGGTGGTAGACCTGACAGTAAAGAGCCAAAAATAATAAGCACAATGACCGACAAGCCCTTTGGTTCCTCTTCAAAAAAAGAATTAGAACCAGTTTCTCGTGCAGATGTTATTGCCGACCCTGAAATCATAGAAGATATCAAATGTCACAAAGATATCCATGAACCTGAAAGTGTGGAAATTTTACCAGAATGGGTTCAAATGGCAGTTGGTGGAATTCATGTATCTGACACAAATGTACTAATCGACAACATTTGCAAAAATGACTGTGATCCAGAAACCTGTCCTCTAAAACAACTTACAGAACCAAAAGGTAGTCCTTGCGATGTATCAACGAATGAGAGTGAAATATACGAAGAATCGGTGGAGAAAATATCACACACTACAACAGCCAATCTTGTAAACAGTTCTCCGAAAAAGGTCCAGTTTAATATTGGAATCCCGCTGCATAATGGTGACTCTCTTGATATTGATTCAGAAGAGGAGCCTTTCATCAAAAATCTAAACGAAAGCGACATAAGTGACATAGAGTCACCTTATCTAAACTCAAGCTTCAAGGAGGACTCTCCCTATGTAACGGCCAACTCTGTGCCGTACGAAGACCTTCTGGACCGGGGAGATGGTGCCATATTCTCCACATTGACTAGAAGGTCCCCGTATATTGAAGAGGGACTAGGTGACCTGTCTACCGATATTAGTTTGAAGGACAGCGAACGCAGTATTCTAGACTCGAGCATTCTTGACGTATCCGACTTAAACAGCAGTATATCATTCAATGCAGGAGAAGGGGTAAGTGTCCTTTATTACTGAAAATGAATAACGTTTTAATCATCTAATCAGTCAAACTGTTTTGTATAATAAGAACAGAAGGAAAGAAAAAACAAGTTTTGTGCTCCATTTCAGAACACATAACAATAAGACATTACATCTTTATTGAACTATGTTGCTGTTAAAATAAATATATATACAAGATAACTAAGAAATATACTCAGAAATACATTGAAAATCGTATGTTTGTGCTATTCTCAGTCCGATTTGAGCGAAAAGCGTTGCATCGCTTTTCAATTCTGGGCAATTTTTTACAATTAGAATATTTTATTCGGAAGAACGGAGCGAGCTAATGATCTGCAAAGTATACATATAAGTTATTGGTATAGACCTACATCAAATTGAGTAATAATCTCGGAAATATATTTCCAGGCCGTCATGTCAAAAACCTGTAATCTCAACTTCATTTTGTCATTAGTTAACCTTTTCCGATTGATATGATTGAATAAAATGTTAGCCAATTTAATATAAACTCTTAAGCTTATGTATGCATTAAACATGATAACAATTATCTTTTTTTAAAGGAAAAGCATTGTCTTTCATTCTGATTCTGTTTTTTTAAAGACTATTTGAATTGCCTTGTGTATATAGCAAATTGTAACATGTATATATATATTCTGAGAAATAGAATATGTTTAAACTAATGATTTCTTTATTAGTAAAATCATATTCCTTATATCTTACAGGTAATTGAAGTTGCAACTTTATTTGCATTGCAAACATTTTGGCGCATAGTTAAACACGCTTGGCAGGACGGAAATGCTGACCGAAATATCAACAACGTCTCAATACAAGAAAAAGAAAGCGGACTATACGTTATTAGGCAAAAGAATAAAAGCAAAGACTACCGATCACCTATTCGTACAACATACAAACGAAGGGCAGAAATTCTCAGAGAGTTAGATGATAATAATAATAATAGCACCGAAACTTTATTGTATTACGAAGTTACCAATACTTTACGCAAAGGCAAATTGCTCCAGCCATCAACATTAAAGGGACAAAATAAACACAGAACAAACGAAGCTTTCAGCAAATGGAATGATTGTTGTCATCAATCGCAGAACTTAAGTAGGGAGACTGATTCGGGAGCAAAGCTTAGACAAGATGCATCTGTTAATGACGAAGAACACATTGATAATCCGAATTTTAATAACAATGCTCGTCATAGTAAGAGAAAAAGAGGTCATACAAAACGACGTTCTGATAGCGGTAGTAAAGCCGATTGTGAGGAATGTGATTGTTCTGATGGCGGTGTACAAAAGAGAGGTCGCACCGTCTACAAAACGCGCGAAACTCTGGATAAATGCCATGCGAAGAAACATGACCAAGTCATCAACAGTGACATTTGTCCTGAAATAAATAGAGATACTCATAAAAGTCACGTTGCTAAGAAAAAACAAGTTGCTAAAAAAGGTCAAGGATCTTCAGCGCATAATCGAAAGAAACGGCGCAGGCGCAAACACACTTCAACGCAAAAGAGAAATATACCCAGTGACGTACAAGAAACAATAGATAGACTCACACGTGACTTAACTAATGCATCAATGAACGATCATATTGGTAATTATGTTGGTGATTCGAGCGATGACTTTGCAGACGACTCTTTCAGCTCATCTGATGAAAAATCCGGAATGCTTTGCCATTCGTTACATAAGAAAAGTACACAAACGCCTGCATGTACGCAGATATGTAAAGAAGGTTTGCGAGTGTCAAGTGCTACATCATGTGGCCAAAACAAGACGTGTTCTTGCAGAAACTGTAAACGTCATCAGGTGAATGATATCATACATAAACGGGAATCTCAGAGGCGTAATATTTGGGAGCTTAAAGAATACACGCACATTTCCAAAGATGACGTCACATCAAATATTCTTGCCTGGGCCTGGTCATGTGTCGAAAAGTTATAAAAAAATTTGCATTTTGTAATTGTCTTTATACATTGTTTTGAAATAAAATATTCAAATTGCTAAATATTAAACAGATAAGGTTGTTATTTTTGCCATCTGAACACGACAACTCTGTGCAAATAATTTCAATGCAATATCATTATTCTAATTGGTGTTCAAACTAAGATGTGTGATGGTATTTTACAACAAGGACGTATAGCTCTTCTAAATTCTTTGACCCACCATTTATAAATGATAACTTATCATTAAACTCACTATTTAGTCATGATAGTTTATTGATCATTAAGGTACCGGTACTACAAAGCAGTCACATGCAATGGTCTGCTTTTATGCAAGATATTTTACTTATCAAATCCATAAAATTATTTGATATAGTAATATTGGTAAAAATTCTGATTTCATAAACTTTCCTACTTAGCTGTACATAGGTGATATTAGTGGAAAACCCTTACTGGCCTCACATGTAAGTATTTTTGCTCATGCGCGCACGGACGGAATCCCCCAAAATTAAAAAGGTTACGTTTTGACAACGCACAGATGGAAGTGATTTAAAATGAAAACTTTTTATACCTATTGAAAAACTAACACTTATATTTTGTCTCGTTTATGCATCTGCTTGATTTGATATCAATTTTTTGAAGAAAGCAAGTAAAAATCAAACGTTTAAACGAAAAATACGGGTACTGCTTCTGTACGGGAACTGCTCGCATGCCAGTATAGTACTCGTGTTTTTTTTTCATTTAGAAGTAAATTCATGAAGTATGCATCCGTAAATTTTAAAGAAAAAAACTTGTTTGCTTCAATTAAATTCTATATTAAAGTGCTCCTGAAAAGTATGTCTCAGTCATTGTCTTGGCAACAATCTCGTAAGTGTATTGGCTGGCTGAAAATGTTGAAGTTGAGACCCAGACGCAGTCTTGTAGCCAACTGTGGCCGCTACAACTTGGATATGAAAATAAAACTTGTGTAGTCCGCTTGGCTGCGTCCTGAAAAGATATAATTATAGAGGATATTCAAGTTACTTCTATAAATACAGAATTTATTTTCATTGTGAACTATGAAAATAAATAGCAGTAGCCACGAGTGAAATATGATAATGTTCATACCACACGATGAAAATAAATCCTGTATTTATAGAAAAAAACTTGAATTTTCTGTTGATTATATTCTTACAATGCATAAGAAGAGTTCTCTTTTAATTTTGTTTATTGACTGAATTTATAAGAAAGTAGTCCGTGAAGACACCAGTTAAAATACGGAAATTATGTTTCACTGCAGTGAAACATAATTTTTTACAGTGAAAATACCGAAAATTAAAATACGCATTTTATTTCATCAATATTTCTCAATAGTTCATCATAATAATATAATAAAATAAGATAGAACTTCTTATCCACGTCTATATATCTGTTTAATATGCACTTATTTTTGAAAGATAAACATACTTAAGAAATAATATATCCCAAACTGTGATTTTATTGCTCAATAACATCACTGTTTGGAGTTCGGATGCGGGGAATTATATCACGAGGGCGTAGCCCGAGTGATATAATGATGCGCATCCGAACGACAAACAGTGATGTTATCAAGCAATAAAATCTCCGATTTGGATATATTATTTCGATTCTAACACGACATCAACAAATAAATGCTGCCGTACATGATAATTAGCTAAATTGCGCCTGATTTGTTGCCGTACTTATTATCAGCGCGTCACATTTTTAGTGGTTACGTCACGTGTTTAATGATTACGTCACATTTCTAAATATAGAACGTCAAACAGTGATTTTATAGCATAATAACACACACTTTCGGTTCTTCTATGTTCAATAGGGAAACATGCGGGTCGTGTTAGAATATGTAATAGAACTACTTTAAAGGGCATCGGAAATTAAACTACACTTTTGATAATATTCATGGAAAACATATACATGTTATTGCATATTTCTGAAGAAAAACATTTTTAAATTCAATTTGAATCCTCATTGATAAACTGAATAAATAATCACACATATTTTGAAGTGTACAAGAACTCGTACTTAACTGCGATACACAAGTAAAATAACTGCGCTTTAATATTTCCAATGATAAACTGCAGTTGATGTCCCTTTGTAGACACCATACATAATTATATATTTAATTATGATGACCTAAATTATACGCCTTAAATCATTAAATATACTGTATTGAAAGAGTGTATGAATCAAATTATGCATGCGAACATAATATAAGTTAATGCAAAATGGTTCAATAAATTCATAAACTCAGAAATCAATCTACGTGAATATAATATTCTTTTTTTATCACACATCCAAAATAAGACCCTGTTGAAGTAATTTAGAATCGACGCGTTAATACTTTGCGCACCTAAACGCTATAATTATGAATTTTGTTTAACGCAAATGACGTGACGTCAATATATCGTCGCTTGAAAACTGTAATGTTCTATCTCCAAATTTTCCAAAAACAAGTTAAATACACAATTTTGTCCGTAATGGACTGTTCTATCTCATTGACATGTTATATTAGTGCTTCAGAGCTTCATTAATAAATTACAACGAAATCATCCTGTTCTATCTCCACAAATTTACTATGTCTTGATAAATAGACTGTTCTAACTTACTGGACTAATCATATCATCGATAAATGTCACGTGACCTGTGGGATATATGCAGCATACTGTTCTAAATCCAAAATTATCGTATCAAAACATAGCATCAAATCACGTGATAGCAGGACATCCGCCATGTTGTACGAAACATTTTGAGTTAGATGGTTTGTTGTTTATTTAATATATTTATACTAAATATAAGTATTGAATGATATTGTGTATTCATTTATTTCCTCCAATCATTGACATTTTAGTATTCAGTCCTGTAAATTTACTGCATGTGATTAAACAACAAGCAAAACTGATCATGATTTGAAAGTAATTTCGGATGTGTATTTTCGGATAGAAACAACTGTGATCATACAATTTCATCAAACAAATTCGTAAAAAATAAAATTTGTTATATGTTCTAAAGTTTCTTTAACGTAAGGTACGTTCTGTCTCAGAAACCAATTATTTATCGTTATAACAGACACATATGAGTTTAAAAAATTGACTTTACTCATTGCCAATATGAAACAAAAGCATAAGATGGTTTAGGTTACTGACCAATGTGGAATATTTTGGAAACTATAACAGAACTCAGGCTTTTGAGAGATTAAGATAAAAGCAAAAAAGGCCTTTAAGAAAATTTATAGATATTATACGTTTACATATAATATATGTTTTCGAATCCGTTAATGTTATATTACTAATAGATTGCTTTAAAGTAAACACATTTTATACCAAAGACAGAAGGAAGAAAAATATTCTTATACGTTTATTTTGTTTGTCTTGTAATTTGACTTTGAATTTCTAAATGAATATTTATATAGCATTATGTTTGTATTGTTTTTGTACACGAACAATCTTTAAATATGACATTTTCCAAATATAAGTCATGCCTGCTCCACCTTTAAGGTCTTTTCTAGCAGATATGTTTTCATTGACTATTTAAGTTATAGAACCATTTTTTTAACATACCTTCAATTATAAGAACTTCTTATCAACACACAGAACATGTAAAGCGCATAACAAAATAATTACTACTATTTCATACTTTTGGAAGGAATTTGAATTTGACCATCTTTTGAATTTTCATTAAAAAAGTCTTGAAAGATTTTCCTAGCATTCTAGAAAATTTGAAAGTTTTCTTTTCCGGTTTGCGGCTAAAACTTTCTTTTTCCAGACATTGAATCACTTTGATTGTGGCCAAAGTTATAAAAATAGATATAATTTCTACAAAATTTATGTGGGTATTTTATCTTTATTTACTTAAATTATTTGTTTAAATGTCATTTAATAATGTAATGGATTTAAGGATTTTAATAAGATTTCGAATGTCATAGTTCATGTAGTTAGATACATATGATCTAAGAAATAGTGTAGTGTCAAAGTCAACTAATCAAGGGATAATTAGCCGAGAGCATTTTTGTCAGCCTTTTAAAGATAAAACATACTGTTTTATATGATATAAATCGATTCAACTTAAAAGACATAATGTTCTAAGTCACATTGAACACTCTGATTTTAACAATTTTTGAAAAAAGTTACAAGGACTGTTCTATCTCCAAATGTTTTTTTAGGTTTTTAAGCACGGAAATATCAAAATCCACACATCTTTAACGATATTGAGCTGTTCTCCTGACACCACATTTAGTAGTTTTTAAATTTTCAAAATCCGACAATAAATAAAAAAGTTATGCAATACTAAATCTTTAAATGCTTTTTTCTCAAAAACAACAAATTGGCACTTAGAACAAAACGTTTTTCAAGCGACGATATATGCACGGTCATGAAAAATCGTTTTTACGGAACGGGTATGTGATAAATTATTCTGAGTACAAATATGTGCAAAGAATGTGCTGCCTTACAGGGAAAAAAAATATACAGAAGTATAATGTACGGTGGCTGGTTAAAATTTCAATTAATTATAAACAAAAAGATTTCTTTACAAATAAATACCGTTAGCATGAAATGTATATCTGGGACTGGATAAACGGTGTTCATTCTTATTTCTATCAACATCCCAACAGTCAGGCGAACCTCGACATTTTCTGGTTTACCTGATGTATATAAAATATACAAATGATATTAGTACAAGCATGTACTTAGTTCATAGTTTCTTTCCAATTATTTCAAAGTTTATATCAAAGTGGAAAGTTCTGTTATTATATTTATGCATATATAGTGATTTAGCTACATACGCTTGGACACAATACTATACGCTACCTAATAAGAACGCCTTATTAGAGTTATCTAGATCTACATTGAAAATAAAATCTTGAATAAATAAAGTATACTAAAATAACCTTCATGCATTTTTAAAATAACCTTTATGTATGTCTCAAAAGTTTCTTAAAATATTATAATATTCAATTCTTTTTTAACATTTTAAATTATGACAAAAACATTAACTTGTACTTACATTCAACCAGGAATTCTACCCCAGCCGATTGATATTTGTTGATTCCGCACCTATAAATCCCGGCCGCCATATTGTCAGCCCCGCTGATTATCAAGGAGAAGCACCCGTTGATTTCCTCTCTTATAGAAAGACGACCAGAGGGGCTTGTTTGTGTCCCATTTTCCATGATGATTTCCCAAACATCCCCAATTTTCCTGCTCCATGTTCTCGTGGTCAGAGGCGTGTCACAGTAATGGCACGTCAAAACTGTATCCCCTCTACAGTTTGCAATCGCCGGTGCTTCTAGCCACACCCGAGAGTCAACTGGTTGTTTAGAAAAAGCAAAAAAAAAAAATAACGCATTGATATGTAAATGTATAGTCATTTTTAACATTTTTTGTTCTTTTATATTACATATAATTATATACCAATTCTTTCAATAATAACCTAATAACTTTTCCCGGTCTTTTCCGTCAAATTTCGGTAAATTATGACAAGGGTACGGTCTGCTCGACAAATGATTATGAAAAAACAACAACAAGAAATTTCATTTTGCTTTGTGATTCGACTTTGTTTTTACTTTTATATATGTATACGTAGTGAACTTCTTAATTACTAAGACCCGTATCGTATTTTCAATTGGTAGAAAAATTTATCAGTTTAAATCATTTATTTATTTTTTTCAATTTTGATTGAGCATAACATGATTGTGTTCAATGCATGTATCAAGCTGTAAAACTGGAAGCAGATAAAGTGTGTGAGCATCAACATCGAATGAACCTTGCTATGAACAGACGTTTCTTTTCGTAAGAGTTATCGTAAATGTATTTTTTTGTCTTAAGTAGTGGCTTTCTGAAAATGACTGAAGTACTGTATTTACTATTATTTATATGATTACTACATATTTGATTACAATATACATATTCATTCATGGTGATGTTTTATCAACGGTAGCTACAATTTGGACGATTACGTCGCGTAACGTTGTCGCAGCAAAGACGTCGTGAATTACGACCGTCTTTGTTGATAAAATGACACCCTGCTACATTTGCAACACAACTATGCTATTTCTTGTGTATAGAAAAAGGCATTTAGATCAAACACCTAAACCCACGATTAATTAAATGTAATTTTTGAAATCAACAAATTTGACAACCATACTCCGTGTTGCAAGCTTTCTATACTGTCATGCAACTAGGACACACTTATGTTAATTTTAAATCTCAATTAACATTTACACAACTTCTAAATGACGAATGACAAAATTTAAAACTGTTTACCAGCATGAGATAATTTATTTAGTAAAACAGTAACAAAACTTTCTGACCTATATTTTAGAATAAACACAAAAACATGTATATGCATAAATGAAAACAGAACGTGGTGATGTTTCCCCTTCATAAAATGATAATTGTTCATACATATGAATACCATTAGAGGTTAACAGATTGCAAATGTTCAATATTATAATCAATTAACAAATAACATGTATAGCAGACCAGTTCTTAAATACACTGCAACATTTACTAAGTTTCTTGCCAAAAAAAGGGACGAAATATTAACGAAAATTAGTTACAGATCAAGGTACGTTACATCTATATATAAACATAGCCCGAGTCTTTACATCTTTAGGAAAGTATATAAACAGAACGATATAGACTATAAAGTCTTGTTGGCTCAATTGCTAGAGCGTTGGACGGTAAATTAGGCGAACTGGCTTCAATTCCCGGACGGGGCAGGTTATTTCGTTGTGATTGATCTCAAAATAATTTCTACTGACATGTTCTTCTGTTTTTTAAAAGTAACAAGTGCTGCCCTTAAAGTTATGAAACATTTTTTGAGTTCTGTCTAAAATCTCAGGCATTGATTGGTCAGTGCAAATTTTTGTCCGTTTCTGTCTATTCTTATATCTGATAACTGTCGTTGAGCTGAGAAGATTTCTGTTTACCGTGTTACACTAGGAAAAACGGTCATGACCACAAAAGGGCTGTATAAATTGAAAGGCAGACACCTTAATCACTAGGCCACGGCGCAATCATCATCATCATCATCATTATCATCATCATCAACAACAACAACAACAACAACAACATAATAATAATAATAATAATAATAATCATCATCATCCTCATCATCATCATCATCATCAACAACAACAACAACAACAACAACAACAACAACAACAACAACACAAACAACAACAACAACAACGACAACAACAACAACAACAACAACAACAACAACAAACTAAACAAAACATTATCATCAACAACAGCAATAACAATAGCAGAATAAATAAAATGATGAAATAAAATAAGCTAAAAATGCTAAATAATAGAAACGGAAACATACCTGACGTTGATAAAATAAGTATAGTTAAAGCAATGGCGGGAAAATATCCTGACATAATTCTAATAAAACCCGCAGTATGTGTATGTGTCTGGTGCACTCCAAATACTTTTTTCAAATGATACAAACAACATTTAGTGTGTCTTTAAATTGTGTCAAAGCGTGAGACAAAAGTCTTGTTGCGATGTTGATTAACATTATTTTACGAATGATTTATTTAAAATAAGACATGTTGAATATTATTAATTCTTTATGAAATAATTTACTTTGGTAATTTAAATAGCCTTTATTATGTATGTAGTCGAACGTATGTTTTGAAATAAACTTAGTTAATGTATTTTGAAGGAGTGAAAGTTCAATAAAACTCTGACTTATATACTAGTACTGGTTCTTTTAATTGTAAACATTTTACAATTCCAGATATCCTTGGGTATCTCTAACGTTGCGCACAAAATTGATGGAAATTGAAAAGCATTTATTCGCTCCGAACGTAATGACTTTGGTCTATATAAAGACTATTTACGTATAAGAAAGAATGCGCTGCATAATCGATGCGACGAGATAAGAATTGAGCTGTAAGACCAATGCCGTTCAAAAATAAATCTGTTTGGAAGGGATTATGAAATCGAAAATTTAAGAAAATTATTTGAATAGTATCTATTAGGACAAAAACTGGATTAGGAATGTATTTTGTTACTATTTGGTTAATGACTATGTTCAATCGAATATTACAATTCAACACAAAGAAGACTTATCTTTTGACAGAGTTTTATATTTTCAGTTATTGCAAATAATCGTTTAATGATTAACTCATAATGGAGCAAGGTATCAGCTGTCTGATAAGTTTAATTTATATTTCCTGTAAAAACCGTGTCTGTAATAGTTGTGACCACAAGTTTGTAGGAAAAGCTTCCAATAGGCAATGGTGTTGTAGAAATCCATTTGCAAGTAATTGTCCACCCATTTGCCGCACAGTAATGTTGAAAATCTAGGGCTACTATTCGAGAGGATGAGTCCTTGAATGGAATAAAAAAATCATCTCATATTTAGTATCATTTATTGTAACATGATTAAAGAGTAACAACAACAACGACAGCAACTGTAGCAGTCATATTGTATGGAACGCCACAGCTGCCTTTCCATAACATCGACACTGTAAATGTCATGTGACGACTTTTTCAGTGGAAGACAAAAGATGCCACTGTGTATATTATTTCATTCACGAGCAGGTACCTGAGTAGAACCACCGATCTTCCGTAAATACCGTCGCTCTTCGGGTAGAGATTAAAGATTATTTTGAGATTTTTAATTTAGGGTAACATAGGACTTGTCTATCTAAAGACATACTTTAAAAGTTTCATACCATTAACGTTAAGCTAATCTTTGGGATAGGATGCACGTCTGCCAGTATAATTTCTAAATGCTGATCGTCTGCACGGCTGACAATGAAGTTGATTGGTTTGCCTGAAATACAGAAACACCATCATCTATATATAGAGTTAATGTTTATAAGGAAAATTGGGATATTTAGCATTATTGCAATAACACATGTACGTAAGCAGAAACACTTGGAATGTACAGAGGGTACGAGGCTTCATTATTAAGGTCGATATACTACTACTTTTATGTATGTAATAACTTAAAAATCTTTGCATCGTGATTAACACATTTAGTTAAGTCTGCTTTTATACCAAATTAAACTTGCTTGAAGGAAATATGCTAACACGTTATTGACACAGGCCTAATATTTCATTCGAGTGCACTACCATGCAAACAGTTACGACCATTTGTTCATATTTGACTATTACCAGTATTAAGTTTATTAAACGTTAGACCAACTTGTTAATAATGATCAATCTGCTACAAAGTTATTAATCATTTTCTATTTTGTAGTACATTTGCATTATCAATTTGTTGTAATTTATACATGTAGACATTTTAAGGGAGATGGCCGTGCATTAATGGTTTTGTGCTACATATGTATAGCTTCGCCTGTTGGTTTGAGTTATGCAAGCTTTTGACTAATACTGCTATGCTATGATGCCACTTTTCATTGGATAACGGTCACTTTTTATCGGATAACGATCACTTTTCATTGGATAACGGTCACTTTTCATAGATAATGGTGACGTTTATATAATCTTTATACACAGCAGTTGTAAATTTATGTAATATTTCTAATTTTTACTCAAAATGAATGCTGCTTTATTGTACATTGATATGGCCGTGTATAAACTGTTATTGTCGTCTAGAGGCTTTCTCAGCTTGCAACCGGTTAAAAATGATGTGTCAAAAGAATTTATATGAGCCGTGTCACGACAAAACGAACATAATGGGTTTGCGACCAGCATGGATCCAGACCAGCCTGTGCATCCGCGCAGTCTGATCAGGATCCATGTTGTTCGCTATCAGTTTCTCTACTTGTAATAGGGTTTGTAAGCGAACAGCATGGATCCTGATCAGACTGCGCGGATGCTTAGTCTGGTCTGGATCCATGCTGGTCGCAAACCAATTATGTTGGTTTTGTCGTGACACGGCTCATATGTAATACTACGTTAGCATACACTCAACATCCAAATATCTCTGTTTAGCTTCATAACTTCCAACACTGCATTTGTACCAACCCCGTGCCATGTTATTTGCATATTCAGTAATCAACGAGAATGAAGAGCCATTAATTTTCTTCTCTCTTACAGATCCAGGACTTGGGCCAGTTTGTGTTCCATTTACCATAAACGTTTGCCAAGAATCTCCAAATTTTCGACTCCAAGTCCAAGTATCTAGTGGTAGATCAGTATAATAACACGTGATAATAGTATCGCCTCTACAATCACCAGCCACAGGAACATCTAGCCATACCCTGGGATCAGCTGAAATATTTAAACAAGAAACAACATTAAATGTTTTCAGAGAGGCAGCTATTACGCGACATATTAGCTGAAAGGTCTTAACGAAAGTTCACATTTCTGTTACAAGGATAACGGTTAAAACGATTGCCGTATATGTCCAAGAAACGCCGAGGAAGCCGTATTAGAATCAAGTTCATATATGTTTGTACATACTTATTAGTAATAAAGACGATTTACAATAGATGAATATCTTAATAAAACTTTCATAAAATGCGGCTACCTGTATTGTTGTTGAAGCTCAGTTAAATACGCGTAGCGGAAAACGACCACATACTTCAAGATAATTTTAAGACCCATTTTGCCTTAGAATCGCCTTTTTTAGCTCACCTGAGCTTGCTCAGGGTGAGCTTTTAGGATCGGTGAATGTCCGTCGTCCGTCGTCCGTCGTCCGTCGTCCGTCCGGCCGTCCACAATTACTTGTGAACACTCTAGCGGTCGCATTTTTGCCTCAATCATCATCAAACTTGGTCAGGATGCTTATCTAGTTGAAAGCTCGGATGAGTTCGAACATGGGTCATCTCGGATGAAAAACTAGGTCACAAGAGCTAAAAATAGAAAAACCTTGTGAACACTCTAGAGGTCACATTTTTGACCCAATCATCATCAAACTTGGTCAGGATGTTTGTCTAGGTGATAGCTTGGATGAGTTCGAACATGGGTCATCTCGGATGAAAAAGTAGGTCACAGGAGCTATAAATAGAAAAAACCTTGTGAACACTCTAGTGGTCACATTTTTGAACCAATCATCATCAAACTTGGTCAGAATGCTTGTCTAGTCAATTGCTTGGATGAGTTCGAACATGGGTCATCTCTGATGAAAAACTAGGTCACAGGAGCTAAAAAATAGAAAAACCTTGTGAACACTCTAGTGGTCACATTTTTGACCCAATCATCATCAAACTTTGTCAGGATGCTTGTTTAGATAATAGCTCGGATGAGTTCGAATATGGGTCATCTCGGATGAAAAACTAGGTCACCGGAGCTATAAATAGAAAAACCTTGTGAACACTCTAGTGGTCACATTTTTGCATCAATCATCATCAAACTTGGTCAGGATGCTTATCTAGTTGATAGCTTGGATGAGTTCGAACATGGGTCATCTCGGATGAAAAAGTAGGTCACCAGAGCTAAAAATAGAAAAACCTTGTTAACACTTTAGCGGTCACATTTTTGCATCAATCATCATCAAACTTGATCAAGATGCTTGTCTAGGTGATAGCTCGGATGAGTTCGAACATGGGTCATCTCGGATGAAAAACTAGGTCACAGGAGCTAAAAATAGAAAAACCTTGTTAACACTCTAGTGGTCACAATTTTGACTCAATTGTCATCAAACTTGGTCAGGAAACTTGTCTAGGTCATTGCTGGGAATAAATCGAACATGGACATTTCGGATGAAAAACTAGGTCACAGGAGCTAAAAATAGAAAAAATCTTGTTAACACTCTAGTGGCTACTGTTGTGATCCAAATATTCTGTTAATTGGTCTGAAAATTTGTTTTGATGATTTCTAAGTCAAGATCGAACATGGGTCATCTTGATGAAAAACTAGGTCACACCGCCCAAATATGGAAAAACCTTGTTAACATTCTAGTGGTCACATTTTCGACTCAATTATCATCAAACTTGGTCAGGATGTTTGTCTAGGTAATTGCTTGGATGAGTTCGAAATCGCATGTGAAACTAGGTCACCGGAGCTAAAAATAGAAAAATCTTGTTAACACTCTTGTTGCTACTGTTTTGATCCAAGTATCCTGGAAATTGGTCTGAAAGTTTGTTTTGATGATTTCTAGGTCAAGTTTGAATATGTGTCACCTGGGTAAAAAACTAGGTCGCACTGCTCAAATATGGATAATCCTTGTTAACACTGTAGTGGTCACATTTTTGACTCACCTGTCATGAGACTTGGTCAGAATGCTTGTCTAGGTAATTGTTTGGATGAGTTTGATAATTCAGGTGAGCGATCTAGGGCCATCATGGCCCTCTTGTTTTATATTAGTTTGGTAACATGTTATAGTTTCCAAAGAATTACTTTTGGCCAATTACCGGAACCATTGTTTGCTTCTGTTGCTTCTCAGCAATTAGTTTGTATTTTGTATGGAAGTCAAATAAGTACCTTGTTTACATTTTCTTACTTTAATGACAATAATTTTACATTCAGCGCTACTTTCGTTATGTGATAAGCATCTAACATACTCTCAAACCATTATTTACACGCTATAGAACGAACTCGTATTCGCTCCTTTT